GTGGTTTGTTAGAACTGGGTGAAAAATACTTTAAATCCATGACAGAATCCTACAACATATTAGGGCTCGTTATGTGCAGTTGGCAAATATTTATGCTGCAGAAGGAAACTGGGCAGAGGTGGGGAGGATAAGGAAGGAGATGTGGGGTACGGTTAAGAAGTTTGCTGGTTGCAGTTGGGTGTTTGTGGTAAATGGAGTTGATAGTTTTATTATCTGCAGTGATAGATTCCACTCAAAAGCAGAGGCTATTTATGCAACATTAGACTGCTTGACCAGAGAACTACATGAAACTAGCGAGCCATTCCTTTGAGAAGACTATATTCTACAGCCCAACATGTCATTGCAAAAGTCAGATGATTTGGACAGAGAAATCCATGGTGACATCTGGTTTTTCATGCCCGTTCTGGTGTGAAATCTTAATTCTTTTTTTAAAATCTTACTTAATTATTTTAATAAAAAAATGAAAAAAAAAATAACGTTAGTTTAAAAGGATAGTAGAGTGAGAAAAAAAATCAAAATATCAAAAATTAATTCAAAATTATATTGTTTGATTCAAGATCAAATTTAAATATTAAATATTTATTAAATTTAAATGTAAAAATAAAAAAAATAAAATCTAATCGAATTATATTTTTATATTTTTATATATTTTTTAAATTTTTATAAAATAATTAATTATTTTATATATAAATCTATTTAAATATATTAAAATTTTATTAAAATAATATAAAAATTTTAAAATCAGTAAATTAAATAAAATAAATAAAATTTAATTCAAATCAATCAATTGTAAAAAATATCAATTTAAATTTAAACTAAATTTTAAAATTTTTAATATTATATATCTTAATTTATCACACCGCTATCACTCCTAAAATTTTAGGTATTTTCGACAACAGACGGGGTTTACATTTTAAGTCCCATTCCGCTTTAAGCCGTTAAACACGTAACGGAACGGAATATAATGAGTTTATTTATTAAAACAAAAAAAAATCTTATTGTAAAGTCGTCAACTTCCAGTTTGGAACTCCTTAACGCGCCGCAACCCTCAAGCATCAATCAAACTTTCAACTGTGCAATATCAACAAATTCCCTTCAACATCTTATCTCTCGCTTCATCTCCGACTGTGGTAATTCCAGTTTGATCTCCAAATTCCAAAATTTATGGATCTTACGAGCGAGGTCTCCCGTTTCTTTCTTTCTCTTATTTTTTTTAAATTTTGTTTTTCTATTTTATTTAACTATTTTATTATCAAGTACTATGCATCGCAATATCAACATTTTTCGTTTGAATCGGTAGTTTGTCCCTCAATTTAAAGCTTAATTTATACATTTTCTGCCTTCAAAATTCTCTTTTTGAAGATCAATTAGGGTTTAATTTATGTCGAGTTGATAAGAATTGATTTCTGAATTTGTTTAGGTTGGATTAAGGTTGCTTTTTTCTCCAATTAGTTCCAAAATTGTTGTTCGAACGGCTTGGTAAGTTCTTAGGTGAATGAATCACTTAGTAGAATAGAAACTTGTCAATCTTTTCACCCTTGATTATGATTTATGAGTCTGTTGCTAATTGTTGCGGTTTTTTTTTTTTTCATAGTTGTACAGTGGGGACTGTTCTGCCAGTTTACTCGACATTTAAAGCAATCGAAAAAAATGATCAAAATGAGCAGCAAAAATGGCTTCACTATTGGACTGGTTATCACTTCTGTTCCAACTTCTGTCTTGTTTTACCTGTATCATGAATTTGACTGTCTCTTCCTTTCTTGCGGAATGCAATACACATGAAATGTTATAGCTGTTCTTTCCATTGGTAGCTTATTTTGACTACCAAGAGCTCATAACCTTTTTCAAATATATTATTAAGTAAAAACAATTTGTGAGGATTTTGTTTTTGGTGGACAAGTTACAATTGGGAACAAACAAACACAACAAAGCACAAAATGAAACTGCCATTTCACATTTGCATGATTGCTATGCGAAATCTATTTTATCTACCAGATATGGACTGTAGAGTTAGATGATTAGTTGTATTTAATGTGTCTCTTTGCATGCGGTAATGTGACCTGAAGCTGAGACTAATGAACTTCCTATTAGTTAAGTTACTGAACAATGCCTATATAAAGCTGCTGCATGTTACGGATTATCAAAATAAATAATTTCAATTTTATTCAGCTTTATTTTTAGTTTTTTACTTAATAGAAGTTCTTATTTTTGCTTGCAGTTTATGGATCTTTTAGTGTTGCAGAAGTGTATGCAGACAAAATCCTGTCCTGGTACTTTTTCTTAAACCTAACTGTTGCTGGAGTGGTTTCTGTTTTGGTGTTATGCAGTTTTTACTTCATAATTTCCTTCTATTTTAGAGTCATTTAGTGTTGCCATCCAGGTTTATAAGTGAACTATCATAATTTAAAGTTTCACAGTGAACTTCTCTTGTCACACTTTATATAATATTCATTTATCACATGTGTGGTTGATTAAACTTATTGAGAACCTCCTTTAGAATGCATGTGGTTGAGATTTTCATTTTATAGATGATTTTCCTATATATAGGACCTGAATTATTGTTAAGGTTTTCTATTTACTGGTCATTTCCTTCATTGCTGTTTAAATCCTATTTCTAGTTTTAAAGCTTTTTCTATAAGTGTTGCTCCAACATGAGGAAGCTCATTTTGTTTGTTCATCAGGTTTCCTCTATACTACCATGCAAAATTTGCTTTTCTAGTTTGGCTTCAACTTCCATCTGCCAATGTAAGCTTAATTTTTGCATCTGTTTCACAGATACCATATGCTTATTACTAGATCTTGTATGCACCAATGTGGCAATGTTCAAGGGTATCCATGTTAATTGGGTTACACTAGCATTCCTAGGTTGGCCAAACAAAATGGATACTGTTAATTAGTCAGCGGATCCTAGTATTTCACTATATTATATTGTTATTTGCAAACTCTATTTGAATATTCTTATTTGTTTTTCTTTTTTATATGCAACCAATAAGTGGTTGAAATTTAGACAATGAGCAAGGTACTCGTGATAACTGATTGCCCTCTAACAGGGAGCCAAGCATTTGTATATGAGCCATCTCCGTCCATTTCTGCTGAGGCACCAAGCTAGGCTTGATCAAATATTGGAGTTCATTTACAATGAATTGGTAAGAATTTGTTCCTATGATTTTGGCAGGAAATGAATTTTAGTCTTGGAGGGCCCATTCAAATAAAACTTGCTATACTTTCTTGTGGCTTATGCCAATCATTTCCACTCTTGGGCCCCTGGTTCCATCATCTTTTCTTTCTTTCTTTTATTGCACTGTCCCTCATCATCTTTCATTCTTATGGCCTCAAACAAACAAGCAATTTATTCATTAGAGGCTGATTTTACTACCAAATTAGATGGTGATTGCCTGGATTCTATTTTAGAGTTTGGAATTTAAACACAAGAATAATTGCAAAATTTTAGAGGTCTGATAGATTACTGGAACTGCAGAGCAAAATCATCAGTGCACGCCAATCTGAAATCCAGTTTGCAAGGGCACTGTTTGTGAAGCTCATGGCATCAGGTATAGACTTGGATCATTATTAATTTTATTCTGTGTTATGAATAGCTCTAAACTTCATCCTAAATTATCTTTTAAGTACTACGATTTCTGTAAAAGTATATTAAGTGTTTCTGTTAAATTCCACTTATTATTTTGTTACATTTTTTGTAATCTACTACTCTATGAGGCATTTTTCTAAAGCACATTGCTAGTTTTTGAGGTTATAATTTTTTTTCTTATGGTGAATTTGATCCAATCTAAAGATAAAAAGAAGACATGAATAAGGGTAAAGGCTTCCCTGGATCTCACACTTTCTTCATTTTACCAGTGAACCAGATTGTTAGGGATCTTATTCACCCTGCGCAAAGACAGCCAAATCGTTCCATTGAAGGCCCAAGACAAGTAGATTCAGATACACAATCCGACATTGAAGATTGATTCAGATACCCTTTTGTGTTTTTGGTTAATGTTGGTTTGTATCAACATTACTCTGGCTTCTTATTAGGTTTAAGGTTCAGCACATCAGGAGTTTCTGTTGCGAATATGAATGCGGCACAATAGTCTTGTAACCTCTTGTTATGTAGATTTTTTTTTTTTTTTTGTAAATAAGAATTTTATGTGTAATTTTAAACTTTGCAGCGTTGCTGGAGGAAAGTTTTTACAAGGTATAGAAATTGATATTGTCAACCTTGGTTTAGAGATGGAATTTAATATATTTTCTGTTCCTTTTATACGTAAAATGTGCGTTGTAATTTTAAGTTTTCATTAAAGTCTGAGTTTCTCCAAAAAAAAAAAAAGAACTCTTAAAATGAAAGAGCATGACATGCCAAAAATTAAATTTGCCATTGTACTTTTATTTTTTGTGATTTTCATACCGAAAATAATGGAAATCGAATATTTTGTAAATTACACACTTAGTAGTTAAAAATGTTTTGAATAAAAAATAAATATGATACAGATATTTTACATGCATAACAAAAATGAATATCTGAAATGTCATAATTCATAATTGAAAAAAATTATTATTTATTTTGTATGAAATTTTATATTAAAAATAAAAAATACAGTGATAAAATTCAATAAAATAAAGTATAATGACAAAAGCATAATGACCTTTATCTCAATTAAAAATTTATAATCCTTATCTTGAAAAAGAAATAAAACAAAAAAAACAGCTAAAGAAAAGAAAAGAAAAGTAGGGAATTGGAAGGGCAAATTTTTTTGGTCCAATCCAAGGTTGATAAAGAAGGGCCAGGGAAGGCAAGGCAGTGTGAAAAGCGACATCGTTTAGCATTTCCAATGGTGGCTTGTCACCATGAATGTGGAAATGCCACCAGCTCTAGTTCTTCCTAATAATACTTGAAATTGATAATATGATTGTTAGCCTGTTAGCATTAAAATAACAAAAAAAATAATAATAATAAAGGCAGCGATCTCCGATCTCCATTGCTCCCATTCCACTGCTAGTATTCTTTTTAACTTGAACAACACCCACACTGACTCTTCCCCAGAAAAAAAAAAAATGATGGGTGGACGCAGAGAGGGTCCGTTGATGAGAAACACATCGCACTCAGTGGTGAAATCAAGAATATTAATGGCTATGGCCATTGGGATTTCATTTGGTTGCCTCTTCGCTTTTCTTTATCCTCATGGAATCCCCTCTTCCTCTGCCCCCGCATTCCACTCTCGCCGCACTCAGGTTCCAAACCCCTTCCCTCCCCACCCATTCCATATCCTTTTTCTTTTTCAAAACTTGTTTGTTTGTTTTGACATCATTTCAGTGGCGATTTTGCAATGCAAAAAACGAAAGATTTCTTTACTTCAATGTGATACCCTTTTTTTAGCGTTTAAAATGTAAAGGAATTGGATTCACTGATTGAGTTTTTGTGCTCCGCAATTGCCTTTTGTTCAGAGCTTTCAGATCAAATCTTGAATCCAAAATCTTCTTTTTGATTTATACTCTACTTGATTGCTTACCCTTTAGTTCAAAGTCATTATTTTTTCTTTTTCCTCATAGGTTGTTGTTAATTGAATTCTCTCTTAGCCAAAAGATGGATGGTAGGATGTTGTTATCTTGCGTGGGGCTGAAAAATCATTACACTAATGTCTTGAACTTTTAGCAATACGACTTTTGCTCTTCATTTTGCTGTTTACATTATTTAGTTAATTGAGTCATGAAAATGAGATTTACGTCTTAAATCTGGTAAGGGTCTGTTTTGGTTTTTAAAGGGTTTGCTGGTGTTAGATTTTATCATCCAATCTAGTGCTTGTATGTGGAATTTTAGACATGAGTGTGGTATTAATAAATAAGTAAATGCAATTTTTTGCTAGGTTTTATCTACCAAATGTGAATCGTCTGAAAGGTTAAATGAGTTGAGAAAAGAGTATTCAGCAGCATCCAAGGAAAATGCAGGGTTGAGACAACAAGTTAAGGAGCTCACTGAAAAACTCAGGTTGGTCGAACAAGGGAAAGATCATGCACAAAAGCAAGTCGAGGCATTGGGTAAACGGCATAAAGCTGGGGCTTTTGGGACTATTAAAGGTTTGAGAACCAACCCCACAGTGATTCCAGATGAATCTGTTAACCCAAGATTGGCAAAAATTCTGGAAAATGTCGTTGTCCAAAGAGAGCTTATAGTGGCACTTGCAAATTGGAATGTGAAGGATTCATTAGAGGTTTGGTTCAAAAACATCAAGAGAGTTGGTATACCTAATTATTTGGTTGTTGCTTTGGATGATAAGATTGCTGAATTTTGTGAATCAAATGATGTTCCAGTGTATAAGAGAGAAGCCGATGAAGGAATTGATTCCATTGGGAGGACAGGGACAAACCATGCGGTTTCAGGATTGAAATTTCGTATCTTGAGAGAGTTTTTGCAGCTAGGGTACAGTGTTCTCCTTTCAGATGTTGATATTGTGTATTTGCAGAACCCTTTCAACTATCTTTATCGGGATTCAGATGTGGAATCCATGACTGATGGCCATGATAACATGACTGCTTATGGATACGATGATGTCTTTGATGAACCTACAATGGGATGGGCTCGATATGCTCATACAATTCGGCTATGGGTCTATAACTCTGGTTTCTTCTATATCAGACCAACAATCCCTTCAATTGAGCTTTTGGATCGCGTGGCTGGTCGCCTAGCTCGCGAGCCAAAGTCATGGGACCAGGCAGTTTTCAATGAGGAACTCTTTTTCCCTTCACATCCTGGGTATGAAGGGCTTCATGCTGCTCGCAGAACTATGGATTTCTATCTCTTTATGAACAGTAAAGTCCTCTTCAAGACTGTTAGGAAAGATGCTAGACTGAGAAAGTTGAAGCCGGTCATTGTTCACGTAAATTACCATCCTAATAAGCTTGAAAGAATGAAAGCAGCTGTGGAATTCTATGTTAATGGTAACCAGGACGCATTGAAAGCTTTTCCTGACGGTTCAGATTGGTAAATTGTGCTATGCTCATCAGAATTAAAATCCACGGCTTTTTCCATCAGCTGTCAGCAATGGGTGCAAAAATTCGTCTAGTCAATGGTTAAAAGCATCTTCATCAGAGTGATATGATCACACGTACAAAAAAAAAAAAAAAAGTTGTGCCTTCTGTTTATTCCCTGCCAAATACTTTAGAATCTCAGGCTTCTGCCAAAGGTAAAGAAAACCCATAGGAATATAGTTTTACAATATTCTATTTTTGCGATAAGATTTGTTCTTTACTGCTTTAGATTTTTTCATTCAATGCCATTGTTCAACATTGCAAAGGTTTTTTAGCAATTCAAACTTTTCGATACAAACTTATTCGATTCATTCTCTTTATAATCTGATTTCTATGTAAAGGGTTTAACCAAGGTTTATGCTTGACTTGCAACTCAGTATGCTACTTCGTCATATATTTTGCTTTGGCTCATTCACAAGTAACATTTCAAGAATATCTACATTTCTTTCGTTTAAAGAACAAATATTTTACCCTTTTTTTTTTTTTAAATCAATACCATAACAAATATTTTATCCTTTTTTTTTTCTTAAATCAATATCATCGTTGGGTAAAGGATTGGAAAGTCTTACCTAGACCTGAAATGTGAATTCTTTGCTTGTGGAAGTACCAAATAAATGGTAAACAACAGCTCTCGCACCTCCATTGAAAGTGGTAGGTTTTGGGCCACTTTATGTCAATTCTTCAAGCTTGAGCGAAATGATGAAGCAATATGTCATTCGTGTACAAGAAACTGGATATGTATACACAAATTATTCTCTTTAATGTGTAAAAGCTGATAGATTTTGCTAGCCCACCCAAGATTAGAATCATTGACAAACAAGTTACAACAAAAAGAAAAAAAAATGAAAAATTCCCTCTCAAAGATCTGCTCAAGATCCAAAAAGCCAGCAGCAACAGCCCAGGAGGTTCAGTTCTCCAATGCATACGAATCTCCACTCCAGCAGTTCTTGTTCCTTTCCCCTAGGCATATATATTTTAAAGATAAATTATCAAATTAACTAAATTAACTTAAATTATTAAATATAAACTTCAAAAACATCCACAGCACGACACATAATATATTAGAAAATAAAAAATTAATTAAAAAAATAACATGTCATTTTTTAATGTTACTTGTGAAATTAAAAAACTGACGATGTATAAATAATTTTTCATATTTTTATTCATTTTTTTTAGTTTTGTTCTTATTGTTTTGTAGCCAACATATTTTAAGTTTAAACCCAAAAAAATCTAGAAAGCAACTAAATTTTAAAATCTACAAAACATTTACCCTGGATAGTCTAGAACAGATTGCCTTCTTGCTTCAAATGAAGATTGCACTTGAAGCATCTGTATGTAAGCCAGTTATAAGTTTGAGTTTCTTTTGGTTGGAGTCATTTCTGCATTACTTCATTCTCATGATCATGAAGTTCAGGCCATGAAGCTGTAAGGTCATAAATTATTCCTGGTCCGCACATCTGGACTAGCTCTTCCTGCTCCATTTCCACAACTAAAAATCAATCGTTTGTACAGTAATATTATGTTATAGGTAGGAAAAGTTTTTCGTCAATATGTAAAAGAGTAATAGGCAAGGTGCAATTAACATTCTTGACAACAATGAAAAGGGAGATGAGAATAAGCAGAAGGTCTAGATGGTTAACCTTAATTAATTTGTTTTTGTCATCAAGTCTCTCACATTCCTATGAAAGATTGTCGAGTTCCTCAGGGAAGTGCAGAGGCTATCCGCTTTCAGCACCTCTATTCTTGCTTGTAGTTTTTCACATTCTTGCTGGGAAAACAGGAAATCCACAGTAAGAATATTAAGAAATGAAATGGACTGTAACTTACTACCTATACTAACCTTTTTACCTCGACATGGTTTGTTCATATTTTTATTATGTATCATTCAAGCATTTCCAAATTAGATCCTGCATAAGCCATATTACAATATGTCCACTCTAATTATTTAGTGGTACTCAATGCCTCATTTCTTAATCCATGAATGTAATTATTTGTTTGTCCCAAGAATGTAAGTACTGTCTTTAACCTACATAGAATTTAACCAATGCTGTGCCAAAGGTGCAGTTGAACTTTCCTGCAATACAGAAAAATGTTATCAGGATAAATAAATCATGAAATTTTTTATTTTTTATGAAGGGCGTTGATATTTGGTCAGAAAAAATGCAGGAAGCAGAGACAAAGGAGAACCTTGTCTTTATGAGATTTAGCTAGTCCACTTCATTGCCGGAACCTATCTGTTTTGAGGGTTTAGTCTTAGCATTTAATCTCATTCTTCTGTCTCCAATTTCACTCTCTTAACTACCAATGTAATAACCCAACTTGATTACAAGTTTTAATCAAACTATCTAAAATTTTGAAAAGTGTTACTACAGAAATAGTCAATGAAAGTATAACAATTCTCATATTTCATATTCATTTTACAAAACCAAATGAAAAAGACAAGTAAAAGTGTCAAAATAAACAGATAAAAATAGTTTTCCGTTTGAAGAGTGAAGACTCCTTCACCTATATTAATTAGGCCATCATTGGATACATCAAAAAAAATTCTTTATTGTTTGAGAAACCCCAAAAAAAATCAATTTTCATGATAATTTACTTTGATGTAGCTTTTTTTTTTTTTTTTGGGTGAAATTAGGAAGAAAAACTAAAAGTAAAAAGTAATATATTTAGCATTGCACATATCAAAATGCGCAATATTCGGTGGACCGATCAAATGATCTGCATGCACAAGTCTGTATTCTGTAATTTATTTTATCATAACTCAGCATAGGGAAATTCGCATGTAATCTTCAAGTTTCAACAATCTTATTCTGATCATCAATTATTAATTTCAATTTATAAAATTAAAAAGAAAAAACCAATCCAATCCAATCCAAAGCGAAAATCGTAAAATTATAAAACACTAAGCCCTATAATTTAAACAAATTTCTTCCTTAAGCTAATTTTTTTAATTGAACCAATGTAATTCATGAAGTGAATGCAATCACACTACTCCACGATTAAAGAAGAATTGGAATAATAATCAAAATAATCAAAGACTTAACAATAAAAAAACCCTAATTTTACAGTTTCTATTAAAAGAAGGAGAAAATCACCCGAGGCTGAGGCAATGGCTCGAAAGAGCGAATTTTAGATGGGTAGCGGATTGTGATACAGTACGTTTTATATACCGTTAAGATACGTATGTTCTTTTCTATTTAAAGCGTCTATCTTAATTATGGACGGTTGAGATTGTCCCGTTATTATGCCCTGCGGTCCGGATCAAATTCTGTTCTTGACCACCACCGACTTACTTTAATATCTTTTTTAAAAAATTCATTAAAATAAATTTTGCGCATTTAGATTGATATTAAATTTTTATTTGCATGAAAATTATTAAAATTTATTGTTTAAAAAAATTACTCTATTTCAAGTTATGATATCGTTTCAAATCACAATTAATAAACTTTATTAATATATTAAAATTATAATTATATTTAGATGTAATTTAATTTAATTGATTCAAGTAATAATTTTATATTTAACATTTAATAGGTTTAGTGTTCAAATTTTAATTTTTATATTAATTTTATTTATTTTTAAATTATGATTTTTTTAATAAATGAGCAATTACTTTAAATCTAATATATATATATATATATATATATATATATATTATATAGTAATTTACATAAACAAGTTTACTACATTGGTGTTTACGTGGATAACTCTCTTAAATGACACATAAAATAATTTTTTTAAAAAATAAAATGATATCTTTTAATTACAAATTTGATAATTTTAAATTATTCAAATATCAAAATTATTTAAATTATAATTAAAAATCAAATCAATTTAAAAATATATTTTTTAAAATTAAAAATATGAAATATGGATTTTATTTTTTTAATAAATAACTTTAGTTGTTTATCAAACAATCTTATTTAAAAAATTATTTAATTATCAAAATCTTTCAAACATATTTAAAAATTATAAAGATTAAATTTTTCTAAATCTTTCAATAATCTTTTTTATCTTAATTTAAGAAATTATCTTTTTAAAAAATCTACATAAAACATTAAAAATTCAAATAATTTTATGTAAGATTTTGAAAATTTAAAGAATTTTCATCTTAAATTTTTAAATAATAAGATCATCAAAGATTATATCAATTTGAACTTATCAAATTTATATTTCAAATAAATGCAAAAAAATTAATATTATCTTTATCACTTATTATATTTATTTTTAATTTTAAAATTTAATTTAAAAATTATCTATTTAATCCTAATTGCCTCTAAATAATTTTTTTCCAATTTTAATATTACAATGTAATATGTTATATATCAATTTTTAAATTTTTTTCAATAATTTTTTAGGTATATTTTATTATTATTGTAATTTTTTTATAACTTTTTTCAAAATATATTTTATTGTTATTACAGTTCATTCTTATGACAAAATAATATTTTTTTAATTTATTTTTTATTTTTTCACTTATTTTCTAATATTTTTTATATTTTGCATAATAATTTAGTCAAGATTACTAAAGTAAAACTATGTTAATACTTATTTTATTATTTAATTTTTCATTCAATAATATATATTTATATGTTTTTTAAGAAATGCATAATTTATTTTTATTTGATATAATCTTACAAGTGTATAAATATTATTGTAAATAAAAATATCCAAAAGAAATATATAATTTTTTTCTTATTATTTTTAGAAAGTTTATTTTTAATGATAAGCTAATATATTTAAATTTTATATATGTTATGAGTTTTAAAGATTTGAATATAATTTAAAAATAAATTAATTTATATATATTTTTAATGTTAAATAAGTAAAATTATTTTGTGCATTGCACAAATTATAATCTAGTTATTAACTATATAATAAATTCTTATAGTTTTATAAAATGTAATAAATTTTAGTATACACTTTAGTTCATTTCTGTATTAAAATTTATTTCTCTCGTTAAAGAAAATTTAATAGAAAAAATATTATAGTAACTTAACAATCAAAACATTTAAATTTATAACTTAATTTATTTATGCAATTATTTTTTATATATTTATAAATAGTTATTTATATTATTATAATATATTTACTATGTACCTTAGTTTTTTATATTAAAAGATAAATAGTTATTTAATCTTTATTTTGTTTGATAAAAAAATGTAAAGAAAAAAATTCTAATAACTTGAACAGCAGAAACATTTAAATTTAGTATTTAACTCAATTTATGTAATTATATTTAAAAATAATATTTAACAAATTTAAAATTTAATTAGCAGCATTTACAACTTTTTTTTTTCATCTTAAATCAAGACGTCACGCCCGACCGCCTTTGACTCGGTGGTGTAGCGTTTGCTGCCTTGGAAGGGTAATGAGTTTGAGATTTAATCACCTTCTTTTATCAAGTTAGCCATGTAAATAATGGGATCGGATGGGATCCAAGTTGGTAGAATAGACAAAGAGCTCAAAAAAAATCACGACCTCTTTGAACAATGTATCATATCTTATGTTACACTTGACATGTGTAATAATAAAAATTATTAAAATATAAATACGACGTAAATTATAAAATATATTTAAATTTTAAATATGAATATAACATAATTATTATATATGTTGTATGCGATATCACACAATTAATACATGTACATTTAATCTATTTAAATATGATAATAATAAATATAAATAATAAAATATACATAAATAAATACGAATAAACAAAATTAACGTGAAAATATGAATAACAATAAATAATTATAAACTATTTATCATTTATAACTTACAAGTTACAAGGAAGTATTAGCTAAATAAGACTAACTATTAAATCCCTTAAGACACTAAACATTAAACAATAGTCGATAACTTATGCCTTATTATATATTTACATAATATAAATTATACTACATCAAATCCAAAGTTTTTAATTTCTATAAGTGATGTTCCACTAGTGACATTAAACAATAACTTAAATAAAAAATAATAATAATATCTTCAATCAATTACATACTCCATAATATATATTATTTATTAAATAATAAAATAATTCACAAACATCCAATAAATACCAACATATCATCAAATATTATGCCCAATTCATCAAATTAGGTATACCAACCTACTAGGTTAATATATTTAAAATAAATAAAAATATGAATATGAAATATATGATAAAAAATTTATTCTAAAAGCTATATTTTTTTATACATTTTACTTTTTCGTTTTTTTCTATACATAAAATTAATAAATTGATACTTAGAATTATTTTTTTCTAATATATAAATATTGCTATATATTTTTAATAATTACTTAATTAGTATGATTTATTTGTAAAAAATGACTTATTAAAATTATTTAAAAAATCAAATTAATATATTAATGTTATTTATAATAATTTTTTATACGTTATAGTATGATTAAAATAAATTACATACTTTAATTATCATGGGTATACTCATATACATATAATTTAGAATAAGTTATATATTCTTTTATAATTAATATAGGTATCATATCATGTCATTTAGATTTTAGAATAAATTATATAAAATAAGTCATTAAGATGAGTATATACATTACATTAGAATAATATCTTATCATATCATATAAAAATATAAATTATATAATCTCTTATCATTATAAATGTTATTTAAAAGAAATATGTTTTGTTTAATTTCAAATGTATAATTTATTGTCATGTGATTTAAAATAAGTCATTGAGATGTGTATTTGCAGTACTAATTTTTAAGTTACGTTTTAATAATATCGTATCATGTAATATAAAATAAATTATATAATTTTTATCATTATGCATATTATTTAGAATATGTGTTATTTTTAATTTTAAATATATAATATTTTATTTTAAATTTTATGATTTAAAATAATCACATATCATAATTCATGTTATTAAAATGATCACATAATTTCTTATCATTATAAATGTTATTTATTATCAATATAATATATTATTATATATTCATGTGATTTGAATTTGCATTACTTGATCAGTAACCATAATGTTGGATGTTATTTGTTATTAATAATTAAATGTACATTGTTGTTCTCAATTATTTTTTTAATAATTTTTAAATTTTATTATAAAAAGTTGCAAAAAATATATATTTAATATGTTAAGGTTTATATATGTGTGATATAAACGTTATTAATATAAAAAATTACTTGCATATTAAAAAACATAAAAAATTTTATACCCATTTAATAAGCATTTAATATATAAATTTTTAAATTTTAATATATACATTACTAATATAATAATTATAAATGTATACATAACTATATTAGTTTTTAATATCAAATTTAAAATGATGAACTATTAAAGATTAAAAAAATAAAATAATGATATATTGTACTACTATTATTATATATATTGTTTTATATTATTAATATAAAAATAATTTTATAATAATTATTAAATAAGTATTATAATTAAATGTTTAAAATCATATTTATATGATATTAAATAGCTATTTTGATATCATAACTAAAAAATTAAAAATTAAAATAATCTTTATATAAATTTATATTAAATTAAAATAAATATAAAAATATGTTAAATGTGTATCCTTATGATATGATTAAATTAAATGTATTTTTTATATGATGTCACATATTAAATATATATTCATGTGACACATTTTATTTGAATATATTCTTTATATCTTATACATATTTAAATGTATCAATAGATATAAAATATGAATTATATTATATTGATATAAATAAATACGTTCTTTTAAAACACATATAAAATTTTTTATATATTTTTATTTTACATCATTATACTTAACTTAAAATTATCAAATCTAAATAACTCTTCGAGTGAAATACTCCCATAATAACTGTTAATTTTATTTCCTAAAGTGAGTCAATCAACGTACCACTCCCACATCCTTCTTTTACCCTTTTTTTTTCTTTAGCAAAACAATATTTTACTATCTTTTTCTTTATTTATATTTTCTGTGTTCATGAAAGGACAACTATTTCCGTACACGAGTTTCAGCTTTCATTTTTGTCAGAACAAAAAAAAAGCAGAGAACAGAGCTAAATGTGTGGGTTTCAGTCACAGCACACACTCCTCCAGTCCTAGGTGCTCTCTTTACACTGAGAAATAAGAATGTCTTTCCCCTGAATTTTGTCTGTGACTTAACCTTTCTTTGTGTTCTCATGGGTCTCAACTCATGACATTTCTCTCCACTGAGGCAGGTTGTTTTCTTTCATTCTTCTTATTCTTCATTTTTTTCCTTTTTTTTTTCTACAATGTGTGCTTGGTTTGGAGGTTTTCTTACATGGGTTTGGCTCATTATCTCATGTTTTTGTAGTTGTTGTTTTGTCTTTGCAATTTTGGTTGCAAGGATTGGTGCACTGCTCGTTTAGTTAACTTTCATTGTTTGGGTAAGATTACATAGTACATTACTTGGCTTCTCCTTATAGTCCCCCTTTTTGGGGTCTTCTTATGAACCTGATCTGCCTTCTCGAATGAATTGTTAACCTGTTTGTTGTTTTTAGTCTCTATGGAAAAGTGCATTTCCTTTGGTGCTTGAGTGATCTGCTCCCTTTAGTCCCTTTTAGTTCAAAACCAGAAATTCTAGAAATTTTATAGTATTCAGTGATGAAAATTTCATTTTTATTTGCGTGTTGTCTCCGAGGAAAAGTAATGCTTGAAATCTTTAAATTTAAGTAGTTTATTATGGGATCTAGGGTGTAATTATATGTTCATTTAGACCAATTCTTGTACTTGCATTTAACTGAGTATTTTTATCATTGAGGACTAAGAGATGGCTTAGATTGGGATAATAATGCAGAGAGATTATTAGCTCTTACTAAAAATATTCCACAATGAGAATAATTCTAGAATTAAAATCCATTTGCTTTTTTGTTATTCTCTGTGCATAATATTTGTATGATTCCTTATTTTGAAGGTTGGAGCTAGGTATTGACATATTTTCCAATATCAGTGAAAATGCAACCAAAACGTGGCTGGCACTCTATTATGCCTCTTAGTTTCCGAGGAAATTCCGCTGCTCGCATTTGCATGTTTCCGAAAGTAAAGTCAGCAGGCTGCAGTCCTGCTAATGCTCCTGTCTACCTAAATGTGTATGACTTGACAAATGCTAATGGCTATGTTTATTGGGCCGGTCTTGGTATCTTTCACACTGGGGTGGAAGGTTAGGTTCTTCGTTCATCAATTTTCTTGAACATTGATCATATGACATATCTTTGGCATGAAACTGTTCTAATGTTATCTTGAGGTCATTGTGATAATTAGATAATTTCCCCTCTCATTCAGTTCCAACTCGAAAGATGTGCTACCATTGAATACTGAAAGATGTCAGCAACTGATCCTTCTTTTATTTTTCAAAGTGTGAGATAGTAATGCTACTCAAGTATTTAGTCATTTCTTTTGCTACAATGCAATCACATCAGCACTGGGAAGCGTAAGGCTGTTGTGTATGGTTAGGCAGGGAAGGAGGCAACAAACAGAGTGAATTGGTGCACATTTTTTATATCAGAAAAATTAGTAGAAGCCCAAAATTTGTTCTGCAATAAATGCTCTGCTGGGTCCTTAGTAATTTCTGAAGTCCCTATTCATCTTCTTCACATTAATTATGATATGACAAGAAAACACTCCTTTCTCCTTACATCACTGGCTTATGCTCCATTTCTCTCACCTACCTGACATGCCCTGCTTCTCCAAGCGTAAATTTCTAGATGCATTCACTGGATGTCTTACAATTAGATTTAAACAAGCATGCCGTTGTATCTCATGGATGTCACAAGACATTGAATTAAATGGACTTTTTTCATAAAACAAAATGCTACATCGTTTTGCAAGATATTTTCTTCTATCTTTTTCTGAATTTCTCATGAATGAAGCGATATTCTTAGGATATTGCAAATGGTTTCTTAATGTACCTGTGCAAGTTTACAGTTCATGGTGTAGAGTATGCCTTTGGAGCTCATGACTACCCAACAAGTGGTGTCTTTGAGGTTGAACCTCGACAGTGCCCCGGCTTCAAGTTTAGGAAGTCAATTTTCATGGGGACAACATGCTTGGATCCTGTCCAGCTAAGAGAGTTCATGGAGCGCCAATCTGCTAGTTACAATGGTGACACATACCACTTGATTTTTAAGAACTGCAACCATTTCTGTGAGGATATATGTTACAAGCTGAGTGGGAACCAAATGCCAAAATGGGTGAATCGACTTGCAAGAATTGGTATTATAAAACATTTTATTCTAAGTGCCAGATGTATATTGAGCCTAAAATTCTTTGGGTCAACATATCTTGTATTCTTAAGTACTACTGATGTTGATGGGGCCATAATGAATGATTGAAACCTGAGTTTTTAATACACGTTGAAAGCTACTATAACAAGACTTGAATGCTATAATACCAATTATAACATGTTACTTCTTACTTCCTAGAGCATGAGGTGTTTAGTATGCTCTCAATATAAAACTTATGCTGAAGTTATATTATTATTGTTGCTAGAGATGATTTACTGGTATAGGTTATAATTGAAGCTGAAGAAATTGCTACTTTCCTGGAAAGAATAAAGATGTGGCAATCTAAAACAATTCTTCTTGGAGTTATAGAGCCTAGTAACCTGTCTTTTAAAATCATTGTCTAGGTCATCAAAAGTCAGTCTTCACCGTGACTTTTTTTATTCTCCTTGTAGGTTCATTATGCAACTGCATACTTCCTGAGGCTCTTAAAGCTTCTGCAGTGTGCCACGACTCCAACTTCCAAGCTGAAAGTGAAAAGAAGAGACTGAGAAGTGCCTTCAGTTGCTTATCTTCAATCTCAATGCCTCAGAGGGAAGTATCAATGTCTTCGCTCTTTTTGCACTCTCATTATAAAGGCTGTCTACCGCCATGGGAGTTAAAGAGATCTAAAAGCAGCTCATTGAAGCAACAGTAAGAAGGCTATTACAAAGTTTTGAAACATTGTAGTATACTCTCTCTCTCTCTCTCCACCTTTTGTCGTCCTAGTCACTTGAAGGAGCAAAATCTATAGTAGTTTGCACTTTTCGAATGTCAAGAATGGCTTGTCTTTTTTTTTTCCTTGTTTTTGCCGTTCTCTGCTTGGGAAGTTGCTTGTTATTGATGTTAATGTAGCCATGTCAGCTTGATTCTGATGTTGCATGTTGATATGCAAAGTTGTATCATAACAACAGTACCACTGAATTTGTTCCATACTTCCATTATTTTTAGGTGCATTGAATCTGTCTTCTTGTTCTACTGTTTTAAGATAGCTCATCATTCATTGTGTTTGACAAAATTTGACATTTTATGGGGGAAAAAAAAACATGGACACATCCTACACAGACTGGCTTTGGATGCCATGGGTAACTATCTGATAGCTTCCCAAGCAAATTAAGACATTCTGTAGGGCAGATACTGAGAAGATTATATATATATATATATATATATATTATTTATTTGAGAAAAAGGAATTTTTTTATTTTTGAAATGTTGGAGTGTTTTAGGGGTTCTTGTTAGAGTAATATTTATACAAATCTGTATACTCATTAACATTGGGTTTTTTTTTTCATAAAAACACAGTTACTGGGTTTTAGTAACAAAAAAAAAAAAATTTTGATTTGAAGGGAATTCAAACTTTACCTTTTTTTAAAAGGAATATGTATAAACCGTGTGATGTAGAAGACAAAAAAAGCTATTGGATTGTGTCCGACTTACAAAAGGTTGACATGATGGATAGGTTTTTAAATTATAGAAAAATATTTAATATAATATCTAAATTTTAAATTTTTAACGTGATGCATGAATTTAAAATATATATTTATAAATATATTAATTAAAATGATAATCATTTTTAACATAATTAATTTTGAATGATAATATTAATGGATAAATAATTTTTAAATATTATATAATTAATAATTTCAATATCATATTAAAAATTTTAAAATTTAATAATTACATAAAAAATTTTAAAATACTTTTATCATTCCTGGTATTAACCCTCTTGCAAATGATGAAGGCGGAGAACATGTTACAGATGCCTGTCTAAGTTTTATTAATGTCACTTTTATTTCAGCGAATATCTCGGCCAGTTCACACACAACAGTACAGACCAACAGACAACTCAAACAGAGAGGTCAACTCCACCTCCCCGTACATTTCCTGTCAATTCCTCTCTCATCTTCTTTTCTTCTTCCTGTTGTTTTCTTCTATTTTTTTTTTAGGTGTATTCCTAGAAAGAAAAACCAATAAAAACAGATTCCTGATTCAGTCTTGGAATATTTGTTATACCAAGAAAACTAGTATAAATTTTTTTCTGAATTCTTTTAAACTTTAGGATTCAGATAGTATCATAATGGGTAAAGGAGGTGGTTGCATATTCAGCAAGAAAAGATCAACTTTAGAAGCATCGGATCAAGATCCTCCAAACCCTGATAGGGCTGTTCCTGTTCATTCCCCCAACCAAACTCCTACAGCCATCACAGTTGAAAACAGTTCATCTCAAGAAGCAAAAAAACTAAAAGTATTCATAGTTTTTTACTCGATGTACGGCCATGTAGAATGTTTAGCTAAAAGAATGAAGAAAGGAGTGGATTCCATTGATGGGGTTGAAGGGTTTTTGTACAGGGTTCCTGAGACACTGCCAATGGATGTATTGGAACAGATGAGGGTGCCTCAGAAGGAGGATGAGTTGCCTTTCATTTCAGTTGATGAATTGGTGGAGGCTGATGGGTTGTTATTTGGTTTTCCCACGAGGTTTGGTTCCATGGCATCACAAATGAAGGCATTTTTTGATTCTACAGGCCACTTGTGGGAGCAGCAGAGGCTTGCAGGTGTGCCTGCTGGGTTCTTTGTCAGCACTGGGACACAGGGTGGTGGCCAGGAGACTACCGTGTGAGTATATCCTTTGGTTTGTTTAATTTTCATTTTCCATCAAAACTCAAGTACTAGGATGTGATTGGTGTTTATTTTTGGGATTTTTTTTTGCTAGATAGGTTGAATTGATGATAGGTGTTTTATTTTGTAGAACTAGATGATTTGAGTTTTTGTAGATCATGGAAACATTATAGATTTCTTCACTTATAGTTGAATTAAGAATTATTGAACTAGGGTGTTTTGCTCATCAAGGCAAAGGTTACCGTATTGAATGAATTACATGGATTCGTATCTAACGTATGATGGGGATAGCAGAAAGTTCTTCATCTGGTTTTTGGTTGTGTTAGCCATCTCTATTATGATTATATCCTGGATGTTTTTGACAAAAGAAATGGTATACATTTTGCAGAGCGGAAATTTTATGCAACATGATATGAAAATGATGTATAAGCATCAGAATCAGATAGTCTCAAATTCTTAGATATATGCCCCCAGTCCTAGTTGATCGGTTGCTATTTGTTCCATATAAACTGTTAACAAATCTCCGTTTCAAAAAGTATTCATGGGAACCAACCAATTAGATAGTTGGTATAAAAATATCTTGAATCTCATTTATGTGTTCATGAAAATTTTTGGATAGTTGAGACAAGTCAAAAAACTGATGAAACTGTGGGGAACCATGACAAGAAAAGAACAGATATTTCTTATCCTTCAGAAAATTTAGGGTATATAAATCAAGGGGTTTCCAAATAACAGATATTTCCATCAAATTTTAGTTCTCTTCTGACACTTGGATTTCTTATATGACTTGATCATAATACTATCATGTAGTTGGATGATAATGGTGGTAACCATAAATTTCTGTACCCACTCAAACGTGTGCTGTTGCATTATCTGGGTTGTTAGCCGGAAGAGGTTTTGAAATTGAGTGGATCATCCTGAATGTGTCTTTTATTTTGGGCTCCTTCAATGTCATTCGAATGCTCATTCCAGGGGTGATTCTGTTGTGGTCATGCCAAGTAATTTTTGGAGTAATTTGTTACTTTCCATAATGCAGCTGGACAGCTATCACTCAATTAGCCCACCATGGGATGCTTTATGTTCCTATTGGCTACACCTTTGGTGCTGGAATGTTCAAAATGGACTCAATTAGGGGAGGGTCTCCATACGGTGCAGGAGTTTATTCCGGTGATGGCACAAGGGCACCGAGCGAAACAGAGCTGGCTCTTGCTGAGCATCAGGGAAAATACATGGCTGCGATGGTCAAGAGGTTTGCCGCTCCTCATTCTTTGATATCTGGTGACAGCCTCATCAACTAGGCCTCGCCTAAACAACATTTGATTGTCTCCATCATCAGTCAGTTTCTTTTTCCTTACTTATATGGAGGTCTTCAGATAACACTTGTCAATAGATTTTAGATAACCAAGTGCCCCATACTTTTTTCTAGCTTGAATTACCTATAGTTCCCATTTTAGAGCTTATGCTCCCTTATTTGTTGCACGTGTTGTATTTGTGTATGATTGAAATTCTTAATTTTTGTTCACTGTAAGATTAATTCATTAATAACAAAAGAGTGAATTTGCAATAACTTCTTTCTTATAAGTTGTATCCCTGCATGATGAACTGAATCTGAGCCCCCCTTAAACAAAATTATAAAAAAAAAAAAAAAGTGTTGTACCCATTCCCATTTTAAATCACCTACTACTGCAGGATTTGGAAAGAAATAATGATCTTCAATAGATGGATAGTCTTCTTGTGCATAGCACCATAGCTTCGATCCTGGTTGGCGCAACTGGCAACTAAAAGAAAGAATAATTGATGACCTCTAAATTCTGTTTGGCCTCTGATATTCGGATTCATTTGGTAGAGTAGTTCATTGGAAACTGAATGAGAACTTACTTAAAAGAAGAGAATGGCCAAGAAAAAGATAGGTCATAGGATAAAGCATGATTTCCCTATCATTGAGGTAAAATACATGTTCTTGCTTGCAAAGATGAAATAAATAAATACATGATAGAAGTCTCAAGTTCTACATCCCCGAACTTGTTTCACTCAAACAATGAAAATAACGATGACTCAGCCAATTTCACAAACACATCATAAAGTTACAGCAGCATACGAACACCTCCAAGTATGCCTCACGTAGTACAAAAGGTATGTCTCCTAACGGCAGGCTAGTCTTACAACTGGATATACAGCCCTTGAACCTTCAAGCAAATGGATGCTTTTTAATAGAAGTTGCAGCTACATACACCGAGGGAAGAAGGTTTGGCCTACATAACCACCAGCCATTGCTCTTCTCACATTAGACTCAAACAGTTTGGGGTTGTCCCTCAAAACAGCTGCCGCATCATGATTGAGGGGATCCTCGTAGTTGGGTTGCTGCATGCGCAATCATAAACTGTAACTAAAATGGACCAACCAAGTTGCAAAACCACTTGTGAAAGAAAAATCAATACCGTGAAGAGATGAAACAATCCATAAATTATAGTGTTTATGTTCAGAACAGGTTTCCAATCTTCTCTTAGAATATTGAGGCAAACATTTCCTTCCAAATCAATGTTAGGATGGTAGACCTGCAAATGAGATACAATGTTTAGAACTGACTTACCATTTAGCTAAGCAACACAATTGAAATGTGACCGCATTATGGTCAAGACATGCTTGTGTACCTTTGTCTTGCATTTGACCTTAGGTGCCTCATGGGGGTAGATTGGAGAAACTTGGAAAGAGAATAAAAATGTGCCACCTCTGTGACCAAAAAACAAATAAGAGCTTGCATACAAGAATTGCATATTAATAACACAAATAATTGACATGGTGCTTGGTTCGGAACCTCTTTTTTTTATTTATTTATGGAAGGTTCAGAAATTTTAAGCGCATAGACATTTTTTTGGCCATTCAAGCAGTTTTAAGCACCAGGGTTTACTGCATGGTACACATATACCAAGAGGCCCGCATTAGATTGCCCAATCCATTGATTAACAGTGTTAAATGCCATAATGATCACAAACCGCCTGCATTGTTAAAGAATATTTTACTATCTAAAGTGACAACACAAGCAAACTTTAGCAGCCATTGATCTTCTGTCCAAAACACCAATCATCTGTTTGATAGGATTTTCAGACCTCAAATTAAAGATATAACGTAAGGAAAGAGGGCAGTGTTTGAAGAAAATAAGAAGCTGGGAAGAAACAAGCGCTGCTATAGCAGTTGACACCGGTCACGTGTATAAGATCACTTACAGATAAAATCCCTCATCAGGCTGAATGGTAACCTCGAAGTTCATCAAGTCATCTTTTCCATTGGGGAATGAAATGCTACATGTTTTTGCTAGATTCAGTTCGCTGATATCTACAAAATAAGGCATACAAAAATCAGAACAGGAACTCTCAAAGGCAGCTTATACTAGTTGAAGTTGGATTACTGAAGTACAACTTTCAATTGACTTAGTGTTTATGAGAACAACTTAATAGGTTCTAAAAACAATTAGAAGAACATTTTACAAATCATTCTTGAAAAACAACCCAATTATGAACCATACAAGTTTCTTGATTCTGAAACCCAGGACATTCTCATAACAAATAAAAATAACTCTTAACTTTATAAACATGGCAGTTATTGTTTCTTGATAGGCAATCACAAAGACTGGGACTGACTTTAATTTTTGTTTCCGTTGAATCAAAGCCTCAGAAACCAATATTATCAAAACCATTTATCATTAAAGCAAGTCAAAAATTTATTCAAGAAGCAATGATAGTCTCAAAGAGTCACTAAACATTCCAATTATTAAAAGATATGACTCAAGACACCTTTATGAAGACGTAATTCTCCTGCACTTTGCTTCTTTACAGGTGCCTTCCCATTGGCATTTGCTGCAATTTCCCTCTGCTTTTCCTTGACCTTAAATAGCTTGATCATTTTTCCTAAATTAAGTGGTAAAATAAGAATGAGAATGGAAGGCACGTGACATACAACCTAATGCACTCTTGTGTAGAATACACATTAAAGACAAATTAAGGCACTCTTGCGCAGCATAGACACTTGAATAAAAATTCACATTAATGTCTAGAATATCCAGAAACTATGCAAAAGAGAGCATCCAAGACTATGATGTCAACCGCATACTCAAGAAAAAAACACCAGAGAAGACTAAACTGGCATTTAGCCAAGCAACCACAAGTCCTTGTTTCACAATCGAACGTAAAATGCCAAAAAATTAAATCTTCAAGAAATTACATCCCTAAAGAAGAAAGCACTGCTATTGAGACAGTTGGTCGACACTACAAACCTCTGAGATACTCATCAGACAGCTAAAAAAACAAGCATTTTGAAGAATGCATGAGGAAATTGGAAATCAAAGCTTACTCAAAAGCAAAACTTTCAAAGTGAATTTGCCAAAAAAGTGGTAATTTGATAACAAACACAAAAGAGAGCCAAATATCTAAGCCAGTCATTAACAGTTAGCAAAATCTTCAATCTTTTTAGAACCCAAAAAACATTGCATTTCACCGATAACTTGAGGCCAACCTTGATCAAATGATCTCTTCAAAAATATCTCCCAAGAACTATATAGAGATTCAAAAAAAAAATTTTTTTTTGCCACTATCTTTGAACATGACCCAACAGTAAGGCAAAACAAAAAAGAAAGAGATGACCTGATGAACTGAACCCCAAAACAATCCAAGGTTTAGCGTGATCATCATCAAAATCCACAAAAACATTATAAACATAAACAAAGTCAAACTCTCCTGTTTCAAGCAAAATTCAAGACCAAAAGCAACACCAAGATTGAAACTTTAGTCGTTTATTAACATGTAAATAACCATAGCAAAACAAAAACAACAAGAAAAGAAAAACAAAACGAAATTCCAATTCCAATTCAGAAAAAAAAAAAAAAAAAGCTCATTGAATCCACCAAAGAGATGCGTAGACATACAAAAGACTGAAACGTGGATCAGGTTGGTCGTTTTACCTGATGAAAATACAAGCAAAGGGCTTTCGGAATCGCAGCAAAATAATAATCAGAGCTAAAAAGGAATCTCACAGCGTAAGAAAGTTTTTAAAAATAAATAAAAATATCTTCTTTTTTTTTTTCTGCTTTGGGTGTTTTCTCAACTTTTGGTCAATTATCATAATCAACTTTTGGTTCATTCGCTTTCGACAAAGAAACGGGGGCCTTTCAATTCCCTGCTCTTCACCCTCTTCTCAACTCTACGCTTCGAGAAGTATTTATTTTACGGTAAAATGATGGAAGTTTATTGGTGGCGGTGTAGGCAAGTGCATATGTGTAAAAGTAGCCCGGCCGCACAAGATTGCACACTATCAGCCGTGGTACATTTGGTGATGTGTCGTGTGCGTCGGTTTTCCACTTTTGCTTTCTTGTTGTTTATCTTTTAATATTTTGATTTATATTTATTCATTAATAGTGAATAAATTTTATATAGTAGATGATATTCATTGAGAAAATAAATTAAATACTGTTAAGTTTTAAAATATATTAATTTTTTTATAGAAAGACATCAACTTATATCAATGAAAAATTAAAAAAATTTACATATTTTTAATCATTAATTTTAATATATTTAAAAGATGAGAAATAAATAAAATAACAAAAAAATTAAGTTTATCCATTAAATTTATTAAAATTAAGAGTTACAAAATATAATTTTTTTTTGTATAAGTTGATTTATCTTTTTTTGTATTATTTATTTTAAAAATTAATAATTACATTTTAAAAGAAATAACATCATTTAATTTATTAATAATGTATAAAAATTTTACACTAATAATTAATAATATATAAACTATTAATTTTTTTGTCTTTTTGTGTTTTAGAATTTTAAGTTTTAATCTAATTTTATTTAAATCAATAATCTACAATAATTTTTATCCTAATTCAAGAATTTGTTCAACTTATTATGATTATGATTTTATTTTGTGCCTATCATTTAATCGAGTAACGAGGGCAGTCCACCGAGCCCCTGCTCTTCAAAACTTGCGGCGGTATTATAAAACCACGTTATCCCAAGTGCTATTATAAGTTGTCCAAGGTGTAAATAAATTTTGTCACGAGTCAGAAAAGACAAAACTTGCTTTGGCGGCTTTTAAAGCCTTCCAATGGCAAGCTTACCAACTCTCCACGTACCATATAATCAATATAAGTTTTTAGTCGTTGATGCCAAATTTTTAATTCGACTTAATTGAATGATATTTGTCATTTTATATATATTCTTTTAGTTTTGTGTAATTCTTTTAAATAAATATTTTTACAAAAAAAGAATAAAAATAGCGATGATCATCATTGAATTAACCATCACTAATAATAATAAATATAATTAAATTTTCAATTAAAATGCTCTTGCCAAAAAACAAAAACATAAAAGTTTTTATTTATTATTTATAATAAATAAAAGATTAAAATCTTAAAATAATAATAATAATAAATAAAAGGGTAAATTTCAAATATATTTCTTAATTCAGTGGTTTAAAATTAAGTATTTCCTGCAAGTGACTGTTGTTGGGTATTCTTGTGTTGTTTTTAGTTGGATGATGATATTATCTGTGAAGCAACCTTGCTGGATCTTTTTGGATTGCTTTCACTTTCTATTAGTTTTGCGTCTTTTGAGTCATTGATTTCTACTTCAGTTTTCACTTCTCATTAGTTTTGCACATTTTGAGTCATTGATTTTTATTTCAATCATTATTCTACAAGCAAGTTTTGTTGGATTTTTATTTGGAATTGTTGTGTGAAATGCTACAGCTTGGAGTTTGATTCATGGGATGACTAATTATTGAGCAGTTTTCATGCTGGGGTGAATTGCAGTTGTTTTGTGTTCAGTTCGAAGAATATATTAGCAGTTCAACAACGAAATTAGGTAAAGAAAGAAGATAGAGGGCAATGAAAGACATGAATTTTATCTGATTTTAGATAGAGAAAAAGATGAACAGATGAAGAAGAGGAAAAAAAACAAAAGAAACGAGTAGAAATAAATGAAAAATGTCGCGGTTTAAGGAAAAAAATTATAAAATAATTGAATGTCACTTTTAAATCTCTTATTTTTAATTTATGTTAAATCATATAGTGTTTTTATATGATTTACCCTAAATACATAAAAACACAAAAAAATCAAAATTATTTCATTAAAAATTATAATTTTTTACCGTTCTTATTTTTCTTTATTTTCATAAAAAATTTTAATTTATAATAAATTCAAAAGATCATACAATTGATCAAATAATAAAAAATCATAAAACTTTTAACATAACACGAAAATTCAATAACAAAAATAATAATCACAAATATATTAATTATTAGATTTAATTTTTTTTAACTTTTAATACTTTATAATATTTTGTGCGTATTAAAATTTTTAATATGTTTATATTTCAATTATAACAAATATATTAAAATAAAAAATTGACAAGAAATAACCAACGTGACGTAGTTGATAAAGGTATTAATGGGTTGGGTCGAGTTGAGTTCAGATTTAACCCATACTTGATATTAATAATTTATATGCTTGTCATATTTGGTTCGATATGATATTTCGAACTTAAAATTTTTCTCAAGCTTGACCCATATAATATTAAAATAAAAGTTTACATATATATATCTATATAAGTTATATAATTATAGTAATTTAATTATATTTATGTTATTTGGGTCGATTTCTGGCTTTAATTTTTGTATCTAAGGGTCGACTTGAAATTTAAATGGGTTTAAAAATTTTATCCATTAACAGGCCCCATTTTTTATTCGAATCATTTCAAAACTTAAACTAGCTTTTGGACTTGAAGTGATAGTCCAACCTTTAAGTAGGTCTGATAGCTAGGCCAAATTCTAGTTTTTAATTAATTTATTACATAAATTTCTTAATCCTCATAAAATCGTTTGAGTATGTTGACATGGAAAATTGGGTGTATATTAGGCTTTTATGACATTATGTGAGTTAAGCCTTGGCAAACTTGTATGTTGTTGAATTAGGTCCTATGTAGCCCACTACAACAATCTTGAATGGATTTTGCTTTGTTGCCTCATTTCACTACAGGTTGTAAGAAAACTGGCAACATCCAGCAACTTGCGCTAATCTCATTGTGTTGCATTCACATAATACCTAAGGAAGAACTCTAACAATCCATTAACTCTTTTGGTTTGCCCATAGGTATATTGAAGCATGTTTGGTGAAAAAGTTCAAGTTTAACCCTAACAGCTTGACCAATTCTGTCTCGAATCATCCCATAAAACTCCTATCTTGATCACTAATAATGGTTTGTGGTATGCCCTAGTACTTCACCATGTTCTTCAGGAATAAATGGGTTTCTTCTTCAGCTTGGCACTCCTTAGTTGCTAGAATGAAAGTCTCATGCATGAAATCTATCCACCACTATCATGATGCATCTAAACTCCTCTGCCTTTGGTAGTTCGACTATTCAATCCAATGAAATACTCATTCATAGACATTCAGAATTAGGCAATGGTTTTAAAAGATCAACTGGTGACTTCTGTTTCACTTTGTCTTGTTGGCAAACAAGACAAGTTTTCACATAGGCCTCAATGTCATCCTATATGTAAGGCAATAAATTGATGTTGCACCAATGCTAAGGAGCAGTGCATTCCAAAGTGGCTAATCCACCCTAAATCATGGTATTCCTACATAATTTTCGTGTAGAGTTGCCCATGCAATGGCATAAACAACTTGTTTCCTTTATAAGTGTCTTAGCTGTACGATTATGGGCTAGTCCCTTTTTAATGCGCGACACCAAGGTACCTTTAAGTCGGCTGATGGTAGTAAGCATTACCTCCATTATAGCCTCTGGGGCTTCATTCTTCTAGGTAAACATGTCGATGGTTTCATTAAAGGAATCATGGAATCCTTCGTTAATCTTCTCTTCTATTTTCTCGAGCATATCCCTAATATATGACACGGTCACTTCTACTTTGGCTAAATGGTCGTCCACGATCGACATGATATCCTTCGAGCTTGTTTTCTTGCCTTTTCCACAGGCTTGTTCCTTGACCTCTTGCTGTTGACTAGCAACATCACTTTGAGATGCCATTTTCTCAAACACCTTGAGTGTAACTTGAAAACAACCTTCAAACAACCTGCTCTGATACCAACTGTCATGAGTCTGAGAATTATGCCAAAACTCTGTGCGGCTTTAGGCTAGAAATCCCTCCTTATATGCTAAGTAAGCCTTAAACATTTTATAAGAGTGGTGACTCAAAAGAACAACTAAAAGACACTTAAAAGTAAGCAAAGCATAGAAGACAAGAAAGATGCTAAAAATGCTGTAATTTCTATTAACTCAAGTTTTTCTGTGCATCCAATAAAGGTGGGGAGATCTTATTTATACTTATATGAATAAATGGCCAGGATTGAATCAATTCAATGGCCATTATAAAGTCCAAGATTACAAAGATTACATTGAAGAATTTAAATATTATAGGAACTATTACAGCTTAGTCAGTCTTTTAGATCCTTTTAAGAGTTTGTTTCAACACTTAGACCTATTAGAGCCTAGTCTACCCGCACTTGGGCCTAGTGCGCCTAGGGTCTTTCTAAACATGATTTTTCTGGCCTAGAGAGCTTGGGCGAGTGGCCTTATACCTATTGCAAGCCCAGTACCTGAACTTCCTTCATTAATGTTGTTGGTCGTGTCTAGGCCTTAAAAGTGTCCGCGTGAGTCATAATAATTAATTGTGAATAAATGTATTTTTTTTGTATCATTGAAATTTTAAGTCTAGATTCATATTTACTATTAATTAATTATGAATCAAATTCAAATTTAATGAATCTAATTATTCATGAACTTAATCATTAAAGAATCTAAGATATTCATGAATCTAATTAATTAGGGATAATTGTACTTAATGTTTAATTTATTTAATATTAACATTTTTTTTTTTTTTTGGTCTTTCTCATCCCTTATGTCTATTAGAATCAAAGGTTAAAAAATTGTTTAAAATTAAAAAAGTTTCACACTATATAATTAATCCCTCATCTATCATATTTATTAAATAATATAAATACATATGAATCAATCAATACATTGGAATTGCAACAATGTGTGAAATATGACTTATTATATATATAGTAGTAATCCACTTACATAAGGGTAACTTTTGCATTTTTTTTAGACATTTAAATCAAAATTAAATCTATAACTCATTTGAATTAACTATGCCAGTGTCCATATATCACAATTCTAGTTAACAAGGGATAAAAATGTATGTATGCTAAATATAATTATATATATTTTTTAGTTTTAGTTAATTCTTTAACTCTTTTAATTTTTTTAAATAAATATTTTTACAAAAGAATGATGAAAATATCAACAATGAATAATCAATGAATTAATCATCACCAATAATAATAATATTATTATTAAATTTATTAAATAATTCCCAATTAAAATGGTCTTACCGAAAAAGCAAAAACAGAGTTTTTATTTATTATTTTTAATAAATAAAAAATTAAAATCTTAATAATAATAAATAAAAACAGAAAACACATAAAAACATAAAAAGCCAAATTTGTCTCACTAAAAATTATAATTTTGTGCTGTTTTTAATTTTTCTTTATTTTCATAAAAAATTTTATAATATATAATATATTCATAAAATCATAACATTGATCAAATAATAAAAAAATCATAATACTCTTAACGTAACATGAAAAGTTAATAACAAAAATAATAATCACAAATATATTAATTATTAGATTTATTCTTTTTAACTTTTAATATTTTATAATATTTTGTGTATATTAAAATTTTTATTATTTTTATATTAAAAATTATAATAAATATATTAAAATAAAAAAATGACAAAAAATCAAAGTGAAGTAGCTAATAAAAGTGTTCATGGGCTAGATCAAGTTGGGTTCAAGTCTGATCTATACTTAATATTAATAGTTTATATATTTATTTAGACTTGACTCATCCCATTATTTTAGATCTAAATTTTTTTCAAGTGTAGGCTATATTAAAAAGAATATGACCCAAGCCCACCCATAAGTCTAATTTATAAATAAAAAATAAAAAATATTATTTTTAAAATAAAATATTAAAATAAAAATTACATATATATTTATTTATTTATATAATTATAATAATTTAATTTATATTTATATTATTCGTGCCAAGTTTTTATTTTAATTCTTACATTCAAAGGTTGACTTAAAATTTAAACAAATTTAAAAATTTTGTCAAAACTCTAAATTTTTATTCAACTTTTTTTAGAAATTTGAACGAATCTTTGAACTTGAATTGAAAATTAACCTTACATAGGTCTAATACTAAGCCAAATTCTAGGTTTTAATTAATTTGTTGGATAAAGTTTGTGTAATTAGTCTTTAATGGTAGTTGTGAAAAAAAAAAAGGAATCAAAGGAAGATGGAAGAAAGGAAATATTAATAAATATTAATAAAAGAAAGGAAAAGAAATAAAAAGAATGAAAAAAAAGTTTTTTAAAGGAAAATAAATGATATATGTAACCCTTATTTGGATAATTAAAATTAATAAAAAAAATGAAAGGAATTCTAACAATCATTATTTGGATAAAGAGTGAAAAAAAAAAAATGATTCATTATAATTAAATCATCAAAAAATTATAAAAAAATTTTATATTGGAAGAGATATGTGAAATTTACTTGAAAAATAGATTATTTTGAAAAAAATTATAGGATGATTGTAATTTACTTTGGTTTTTTAATTTAATTTTTAATATTAATAAAAAGATAAACATAATAATCTTTTTATAAAAGAAATATTTTTCAACTTTCTTTTTTTGCTTTTTCTTTAAATTGGGATATTAAAAAAATTGAGTTTAGAAAGTAAATCAAAGGTTATTTGATTTCAACATCTTTTTTTTTTAAATTAAAATTTTATCCAAACAAAAGAATAAAAGTTTTATTTTCTTTACATTCTTTTACTTTACTTTGCTTTTCTTCATTTTCCTTCAATCCAAACACAATATTAGAGTTGATTATAAGTTTGTTGAAGAAGATGAAAGAGTATTATTTTTTGTGAAAATTATCTTTCCCTAAAAAAGAGAAAGATAATTTTCATGTTTCTTTTGTATTTTTTTGTTGACCCAAATTATTTTTTTTTATTGATCTTACTATTTTTTTCCCTTCCAAATATAAGAAAACGAGGAAATATTTTCATGATTAGCAAACGACGCCTTAGTGTAGTCAGTGGTAAATAGTAATTTCGATGAAATCTCAGGTAAGTTTTGTAATTTGCCAAAAAAGTTAAAAAAAAAAAAAAAAGTCGCCCCTTCATCATCATTTAAATAAAGGGACAAAAATTATCCAAAAAATATGAGGGGCTCAGTGGAATACTGGAATAGTGTTAGTACATTCCTGAATCTCGCAAACGCTTAGCCACTTAACACTAGAAACCCTAAATCCCAAAAATGAGGAAATTGTGGGTGATATTTGTTGCTTCGATCTCGATACTTCTTCCATTTCTGTGCAATTCTTTCTCTTCCGAGACGCCGACCGATCGCCGAGTCCTGGTCCTTCTTGACGATTTCGCCATCAAGTCGTCTCACTCTCTCTACTTCAATTCCCTCAAATCACGTGGCTTCGACCTCGAGTTCAAACTCGCTGATGATCCCAAGATTGCCTTGCAACGCTACGGCCAGTATCTCTACGATGCCTTGATCCTCTTCTGCCCCTCTGTTGAACGTCAGTTTCACATTTTCTTTTACTTTATTTTAATGTTTTCAACTGAATTAATTGTTTTTTTTCTTTTTCTTTTTAATGCGCTGTCGTTTAAATAGTAATGTATTTTGTTTAATTAGGTTTTGGAGGATCTATTGATCTTGCTGCCATTATCAATTTTGTTGATTCGGATCATGATTTAATCATCGCGGCGGATGCTAATGCTTCTGATTTGATTCGGGAAGTTGCTACTGAATGTGGAGTTGATTTTGATGAGGTCAGATTACGAGTATATTCTCTAATTGTTATTGCTTCACTTGATTATTTATTGAAGCTTCCCTGTTCGCTGTGTAGGATCCTTCGGCCATGGTTATTGATCACACTAGCTATGCGGTTTCTGAGACAGAGGGAGATCATACATTGATTGCAAGTGATGATTTTATTGAATCTGATGTGATATTAGGAAGCAAGAAAATTGAAGTAAGTATAAATGCTAGCAATTTCAGTCTTACTCCCCTTATTAGGTTCTGGATACTTTAATGGCTAGCATTGATGGGTTATTCCAAGCATTAATCTGCTAATTTGAGGTTGTTTGGTCATGGTAAAATGTCACTACCAGTAAACGTTTCTTGAGATTTTTTTTTTAGGTTGTTATACTGCATTGTGGTTCTGAAGCCCCTTGCCTACGACTATTGATTTTTTTCTTAATATAGCCACATATTTTTGGTGCTTACCTGAATTCTGATATATTTTTTGAAGCTCATTACATGTTTTGTAGAGATTGTGATTCCAGCGATACATCACTGATACTAGTTTTCATTTCTGATTAGTTTTTATTAAACTTGCCACAGGCTCCTGTACTTTTCCAGGGCATTGGCCATTCATTGAATCCTGCCAATAGCTTGGTAAGCTGGTTGCATCTGGTTTTAAAGAATTAAAGAACATGTACATCAAGTTATTAATGACCACAGTTATCTTTATTTTTTGTTTTCCTTTAACACTTCATACTGTGTTTTAGGTGTTAAATGCTCTCTCAGCTTCTCCATCTGCCTATTCAGCTAATCCCAAGTCTAAGTTGTCAGCTCCACCATCGTTGACTGGTTCTGCTATTTCCTTAGTTTCAATTGTTCAGGTACATCGATACTCAACTGTTCATATATCTTGTGCACATCTAGATCATTAAAGATTTTATGCTTTTCATCTTATTTTATGGTAGTTTTGCACAAGATTAATGGAAGAAGGTTAGATTGTTGTGACTCAAATATAGCAAGCTTTTCAAATAAGTTCCTAGTTTTTTTTTTTTTTTTAAAGGCAAGGAACAATGCACGGATTCTGATTACTGGCTCACTAAGTATGTTCAGCAATCGGTATGTGGTGTATTAACTTTTAACTGATTGCTACCTTGATGAATTTTTTCCTTCAGATTTTGAACTTAATAACATTTCATGTTTCTTGATGAACTGTTGAATGTTTTCAGATTTTTCAGATCTAGTGTGCAGAAGGCTGGGAACCCAACCAAGTGAGTGAATATTTAAGTCTCTAAACTACCCTTTCAATATAAGACACTGAGAAATTCTAAACAAATAAGCAGCAATCCATTCTCAATAAATTAGAGAAAACAGTTAAACAAGTTTTTAGGTTGCCCTGAAATCATCATATGATTTATGAAGTCCATATTAAAGCTTCATTTTTTATACGGATCTTCTTACCTTTTAAACGATGGTACGAGCTGCATTTCCATAATCATCTTTGTATATGTCTTTGCACTTGCACTGCATACAAACAAGGTTTTTTGTTTAGTTATTTGCTTAAAGCAAGACATATTTGAGAAATGTTCTTTCTGATAGCAGACATGAGAAATCGGGTAATGAGCAATTTTTGGCTGAACTTAGCAAATGGGTTTTCCATGAAAGAGGTCATCTTAAGGTAGGCATGTTGATCAATTTTGTCATCATAAATATCTGATTCCTGCATGATTTTGGGGCACCTCCCTTTTTTATTATGTATGTTTATGTACAGCAAGATTTGTAACTCATGTTATTGATCTTTAGGCTGTAAATGTAAAACACCACAAAGTTGGAGAAACAGATGAACCTGCCTTATACAGGATTAATGATGAGTTGGTAATTCTTCTACCCTGTCTAGTTTGATTTAATGCTGGGTAGCATTTTGTAGAAATTTTACTGAAAAAAATGGGTGTATTTCATAAAGGAATACTCAGTTGAGATCTATGAGTGGTCTGGAACAAGCTGGGAGCCATATGTTGCTGATGATGTTCAAGTGCAGTTTTACATGATGAGCCCCTATGTTTTGAAAACTTTATCAAATGACAAAAAGGTATGTCATTTGTCTCTCGAGCTCATATGGTTTGTGATATCAGCTTGCTCTTAATGTCAAGTCATCCATATATAATTACTGGTCCATTTTTGTCCTGCAGGGTCTCTATTCCACATCATTTAAGGTTCCGGATGTTTATGGTGTTTTTCAATTCAAGGTTGAATACCAAAAGCTTGGGTATACAAGTTTAACCCTTTCAAAGCAGGTATCTAGTTTTGTTTTTCTTGATTCTTGATACAAATTTCTTTCTTGAGACTAATTCTCTTACTAGTTATCTGATTTTATTTGACACTTGGAAGCTTGTAATAGAAGTTAAAATTCATAAAGAGATCAGTGTAGATAGTGACGGGTATTTACTTTTTTTGGTCAAATTATTAGCTAAGAAACCTTGTTTTCTCGCTCCTTATTTTAGCAAAATAATCTTATTTTTACCTATTTAAATATTTTTATTTGAAATTGCCTTTGGGGGTTTTTACATCACATGGAATTTTTTTTTTGCAAATTTGGTTTCTGATTTTGTTGTGTAAATTGTCAACACATTGAATTGCACTGCAGATTCCTGTTAGGCCATATAGACACAATGAATATGAAAGATTCATACCAGCTGCTTACCCCTACTATGGAGCTGCATTTTCTATGGTATGACTCTCACTCTCTTTGGCATTAACTTTATAACTTATAAGCCAATCGTTCATCTTGGTAAGAACAAATCCTCTGGATTTGAGGTTTTGGAGGGAGCATTATTGTCATTATCACCACAATTAATGTGCCTTTGTTTATCAGAGAAATTAACTTTTGATATGGGTTTTCGATGCAGATGGTCGGATTCTTCATCTTCTCCTTTGTGCATCTATATAGCAAGTAGACTAAGCATCCCTAGCATGCAGGCCGAATTTTGATTGAGCAATGATGCTATAGAAATGTTTTGGATTTTGATGCATTATGTTGTTGAATGGTTAGAGAAAATGCCTTGAGAGTTATATCTATCGCTGTAGAAATGTTTTGGATTTTGATGCATTATGTTGTTGAATGGATGCCTTGAGAGTTATCTATCATTTTGATGCTGTAGAAATGTTTTGGATTTTGATTCATTATGTTGTTGAATGGTTAGAGAAAATGCCTTGAGAGTTATCTATCATTTTCCCTTGCCTTCTCTTTCGCTTCGTTATCATATTTCAGAAATGCTTTTATATCATACCCAGTGATTCCCACTTATCGGGTTAGAAAGTTGTCTTTGGTAAAACCTACATGACAATAGTAGCATAGGTGATTAGTTGATATGCTGAAAATACTAAGAATTGCAAGAAGCATGGAATTGGGTTTTGAGTATCAGTAAGTACATTTGAAAATGATGTAATTATCCAAAAAAAAAAGTGAAATTAGCTTAGCGGTGATGGATTAATTTTCTTAGTTTTAATACTGGATGTGTGCCTTGCCCACCTCGTCGTGGATGCGAAAAGGTGTAATGGATTTTTTTGGTTCAACATGGCATTTGCGGTGCGGAGCCATAAGGGTTACATGAAGGTTGCGCGTATCAGATCAATTAATAAATCTGATATTTGATGATCTAAAATATATTATGTAATGATATAATATAAAATATAAATAAAAGATATGAAAATGATGAAATTTAAAATTTTAATAATAATTATATATGATTTTAATAAAATAAAATAAAATATTTTATATTTTTATATATATAAATTTTAATATTTTACAATATACGAATATATAAATGGATAGATTTAATTAAAATAACAGGAGTAATATTTACTTTTAATTTTTTATTATAATTTTATAATTAATTAATTACAGTAAAAGTTATATAAAATTTATCATCTAAAATGTGAATTTTATATAATAATTAATTATAATTAATTATATTAAAATAATTATAAATGATATTCTTTTATTAAATCAGAAAATTTCAGGACAATTAAGTAAATCGGAATCAATTCTATCAATAAAACGGCATTCGCGATGCTGAACCATAAGGCTTAAATCAATGATACGACACTTATGGCACCGTGTGAGTTTTTCTCATATTGCATCCAACTTTTATTCAATTTTTAAACAAGTTTGTAAAATTTTACCATGGCTTGTTAAGATAATTTTTCAAAAGAAAAAACAGAAGGGAAAAAACAAAAGGGCACTGCTCAAGGACGAGTTTGAAACTTTGGGTTCCTGGAGACGGTCTTGAAATTGTTCTTTCGCATTTCGAAAGCCGACAAATGTCTTAACTGGGCCATTTGAATTAGCAGTGGGCAGTTAATTCGGGATTTTGTTTGTAGCGTCGTGAATTTTTAAGCCCAATTCCACCTTCCTTGGAACAAATCCATAGATGTTTAGGCCCATCTTGTCTGTATCATCGTTGTAATACTATCAATCCGAAGAAAAAAAATTACTAAGAGAAACCTGGAAAAATAGCAAGCAGCATGAACTTTATCAAGGTTTATTATTGTTTTTCATCTTTTGTTACATTTACCCTCTTGAAAATAGCAGGACTTTTTTATACCGTAAAATAAAAGCAGGCCAACCCCAGTTTGGTAAGAAACAAAGTCTGTTTAGTAATTCTGACTAAGATTCATTTTTTTGGACGAAAAATTTTAGATTCAAATTTTATTAATGATTATTTATTAAAATTATTTCAAATGTCTAATTTATAATCACTTATTTTAAATTATAAGTATAATATATTTTACCGTGAGAGATCGAGGATCCTATTTATCCCTATCTCATTCCAGTTTCTTAAAGAAAAAAAAACGAGTATGTTTTGTAGTTCTAGCTCTAGTAATTATTAAAATTAAGATGACTATGAAAAGAAAAACCATATAATTAAAGTTAAAGAGAATGTATGGCGAAGTTACTAATGGACACCTCCAAGTAAATGTAGAAGGCGTCATCAGCGAAAACCCCCCAGATTTTGATTTTGGCCTCCCATGAGTCAAATAAGCACCTTTATCTTCAGCTTGTTTGGGATTATGAAGGCCATCCTCCCGTTAGACCAAAAAGAAAATTCTCCTACAGAAATTACTGCAGAAAGTATATAATGGGGACAAGAACAAAAGAACAAACAAACTATGTCTAGTTTTCAGTTTCATCTTGGGCTTTGGTTGGAGTTCATCTTAATCTATATTTATAGTGTGTACTTGGATGAAGCGGAGACACCCAGAAACCCTAGTCACTTCTTGTTTGTTTTTATGTTTCAGCCCCTCTTTTTGCTATAATTTTCTATTTTTGCTCTTTTATTTTTTGTTTTGATGTTTTTGGCCCATGTATAAAAATAACCCACCAAAACAGTCGTTTTTCATAAGAACATTTATTATTACATCTCGATGAAGTTTGGAAAACACAATACCAGATAGCAACACACCAAAAACAAATTGCAAACACAAACAATAACAAAACAAAACCAAGAAATAATGCATCAGTGCAAGGCAATTTGTGCGTATTTTTTCTCACATATCTAGCAATGGAAAGATTTGACCAAATTGCATTGCACGGGAAGGGCAGTAGCCCGATCGAAATCGATTCCATAAGCATTCAACCACTTGGAATTCTTGAAGAAGCAAAAGCATTGCAGGTCAGCATCGTTTAAAGCCATGCAACATGTTTGTGAAGGTGGAGGAGGATTAGGATTTGCACTGCTCACGGACGGCTCACATGTCTTAAAACCCTCTTTGCTCATTCCACATATATTTTGACCATTTGCGACAAGGGGTCCAGACCCAAGAGCTAAACCTGCTAGAACCATTGTCACGATGACAAGCTTGGCATATCCCTCCATATCTCAACAACACTTCCTTTCTTTTGCTCTAATTTCTTACTTTCTTTGGAATGAAACTGAGAGAGATCACAGGGTTAGGCCTTTATATAGATTGCTTTGGAATGAAACTCTGCAAAATGAAACCATTTCACCAATTTCTAAAGGGACTGCTTGGTCTTTTGAGGTGAATATTTAAATATTGAGAATATTGACTGAAGAAGTGAATGATCAAAGTCTCTTCAATAATCAAACTATCGATATAAATATATAAATATATATATATATATATAAATATATAGTTTTGCATGGCGTTTGATGACTTGGAAGTGGCAGAAAATGGTGAAGGCTCGTGACATATCGGAGTTGGCAAATTGGCGTTATACACTTATACCATGGGCCATTAGTTCACGGGCAAACATTGAAGGAGGTGCACAGGGTCGGTTTGTATTGGGAATTTCATCCAAAATCTAGTTTACTTGTATAGTTAAAGGATGCAGCATGTGATTCCAAATCCCAAACATCAATGGCATATTTTGGCTCGAACTTCTGAAAACAAGGGGTCAATATCTAATACTCAATACTGAATGCAATCCAATGATATTGCCTTTGTTCTTACAAGAGGTAGGGCTTCCAGACTTTCAAATGTTTGAGGGGATGAACCTAGGTAGAAAATGGAAACAATCTCTTTGAATGACATTAGAGTTGGAGAAGATAGGAAAACTGTACATATATATCATGGACATGATTGTCCGAGAAGATAGAGATTTTACACACACCATGCAAACTCGCGAAAACAACATTAATTTGAAAGAGTCGTTCCTTATTCTAACCGGTCCAATGAGCCCAAAGTATATTAAACCTATAGCTTGATGCATAAATCTTTTAAACTCTAACAACAAACTTTTAAGTAGATTTTTGGGAAACAAACTTTTTCATTCATCGAAAACTAATAATCAGAAGTCATGCCATATTTGATCTTCACTGAAAATCAAATTAGGTTTAACATTATATCTTTACCCTTTTAAGGAATACTTAAAAAAAAAAAAAAAACTATAATAAGTATTAAGATTTAAATTTTAAATTTATTAAATATCATCTCTTAAAATTGAAATAAACCCTGGTTTCCCTTTTAAAGAATGCTTATAATACAATATAGTTTAATTTCGTCCTGAAAACTTTTCTAAATACATCTCGAAAACAAATCTGATCTTATCGTGAAACCGAAGAAAATGAATGTATAAAAGAATTGTATATTTCAGTTCAATTTATAAGATATCTGAATAGCAAAGATTCATTAGTTAGCGTGTGCAAGTGGTTAGCTAGCTAGCTAGGTAGCCACAAGGGCGGTTACTTGCACAAGAAAAATGTAGGGGCTTTGGCACCGGGCGGCTATCGGCCTTGCTGCTGGATTCAAGTGCGCCAGAGCTCTGCTTCTTTTCGAGACGTACATCAGCCACTTGTATTCTTTCATGCAAAATTGGTTACTTCACCCATTATTTCTTTCATCTCAGGCATCAGAAATTTGGATTTAAGTTCACGTAAACTCTCTCTTAAACATTCAAAACTCTTTTGATCCTTATCAAATTCCATTTTCTCTATTAAGCAACAAATTTGTTATTTGATCATCGATATATGCACGCGTCTCTTGTTCAAAGAGTGAAATTCAAAAAAATTTTTCTTCCAATATTTGATATTTTATTTTTGTTTAACCCCAATTTCCCATCTTTTTATGCTATGATAAAATTTGTCACATGAATTTAATGGAAGAATTTCTAACTAAACACTAATACCCTTTTTTTTTTTTTACGTACACTCTTTATATAAATATAATATCAAACAAATTATTCTTATTATTATGTGCACTAAACAATTTGGCATATTGCAAAGTTTATAAACTTTTAAAATTTTAATTCTTATTGCAAAGTTTAAATGAAGAGTTTTGTTGATAATCAGATTATAAGACATAAATATATATATATATAAAAAAATTTTAATATCTAAACAGTGTAATGTTATAGTTGTAAATAAAAGAATATTTTTTTAATAAAAACCAAAAACAAAAAGAGAATTTTTAGTAGTAAAAAGATAAACATAGATTTTATTTATGCTTATATGACTTTTCATTTGTCATCAATAAGACTCTTCATTTAATATTGAAAAAGGAAATGAGCCAAATCCATTTTTATAATATATATACACCCGGCCAACACATTGCTAAATTATATAATAGTTGGGATTATTAATCTTCAATATAAGATTTTAATTTTAAGATTTCATTTGGATGATTCAATCAAAAGAAATTTTTGTATAATCATCAAATTTTTGTATAAACGCGACAGTGTAACGTGTATTTGCTCACTAATTATTAAAATGAAGCATAAGAGTACTTTTTTTTTTTTATTTTACTTTACATCAAAACCTCAAAAACAAACTTTTTATCACCTAATTAGGGTGGTAAAAGGATTAAAAAAAAAGAGAAAATCTATCTAATATTCATTTGAATTGACGAAGAAATTGATTTGGGTGTGATTCAAAATAATAATGACGATGAGCAAAGGCGAATCTAGAGGGCATGCATAGCCATGACCCTCACACAAAAATTTTTTTTTGATAACCTTAGAATTACATTTTAGCACTATTTTAGCATTACCATTTTCATTCTGGCCTCTCCTTTTAATTTACTTTACTTGATACTTGACCTCCATTATCATGATGTTGGCTTCCCCTTAACAGTAAGATTAGTTATATGTATTTGGATAACAAAATAACAGTGACAATGAGGTAAGAATAAAAAATAATTGTTAAAAAGTCTATATTATAAGTTTATTGAAACTTATTTCTATATATTTTAATATTATTTATAATTTTTAAAATCTTAAAATTTTAACTCAATCAAAACAATGATACATATTATTTATTTATTATTATATAATAATAAAATTTATTTATATTAAATTAATAAAATTATTTTAAAATTAAAATAAAAAAAATCAAAATAATAATAAAAAAGTTAAATTGCATGAAAATTTTTATAACATATCGCACTGAAATGGAAGTCCCGTGACTTTCAATCTAGGCTTAAGTATTAAATTTTAGATTAATTTCAAGATAACATTGACCAATTCGATATAAGTTACTTATGGAAGAATATGACATCTAATTTAAAATCGAAAAATGGGTACTTATCATAATCTGCTAATTCTTTCCTGATTATATTGTTTTCTTCTAATCTTTAGACTTAATTAAAAATTCACCATATATACATTAATACATGTCGTGTGAAATTATTCATTTCAATCATTTAATTTTTAAAAAATAAATATTCTATTCAAATTAATTATTAGTACACAAAAATCACAAGTATAAATTTGATCAATTCTAAAAAATCATTCAGCCTCCAAACTTTCATTTCATATATCAACTTAGGTTATTTTATAATCAACACATCATATTGATTTATTTGATAAAATTGTTGGTTCTCTAAGTATAGGTGGCTTTTTAATTAAATTTTATTAATATAAGATTCTTATAGGAAAAGATAAAATAATGTTATAAATAATATTAAATTAAATAATATTGTTTTATTTTATGTTTAATGTGTATAAAGATTATGATAAAATAATTTATTTATTGATTAAAATTATTTTTTTAATTTATATAATTTAAATTATTAATATAATTTTTAAGAATATAATATGACATATAAGTTCAATCTTATGAATTAAAAATAATTCTCTCTATTTTTATATGATTGAATTATTAAGTACTAAAAAGATAATAATTTTTTTTATAACTTTAACTATAGATACAAATTAAATATAATACAAAATAATTATTATTTTATCTCATCCATCATCTTACATATCAAACATCATCAATAATTCTCAACATTTATACTTTAATTTAAAAATACAAAACAATCTATTTATCTCATTCATTAAAAATTTTAATTTTTACAAATAAAATTAGCAAGATGACATTAAAAAATAAAATATATTATAATTTTAATTCACTTATAAATTTAAAAAATTTATTATAACTATATTAAAAAAGAACTCAATTTCAAAATATTTTAAAAAAAAACCTAAAATGTTTTTCTATCCGGTTAAGGTTTGTTTATCTCGAAGTTCTTTTTATTACAGCTGTAATAGTGGTTAAACCTTCAACGAGATTGAAGTGAGGATTATATCTGTATTTAAAAAAAAAGATGAGAATTAGACTAGATTTTCTTTTTAAAATTTAAAAGGAAAAAGAAAAATCACCTGACTTGGTGAGAAGAACAGCAAAGCAAGAGAAACGGGGAGCGCTACACAGCACGTGACCCCGAGTATCTCTCTCTTATGACGTGGTGTGGAAACAATTTTGAAATCTCCGAATGGCGGCAACCCTATGATTTCGCCACGTGTTCATACGACTGACGCGCTATCTCCAAAACCGCTTCGCCGAAGCGCAAGCGCAGCTGTCACCAGATTTACCACTTGCTCTACCTCTACCTCTATCTCTATCTCGACCTTTTTGGAATTTTGAATTTACGAAAATGTCCATCACAAACGTTGGAGATACACCGATTAAGAATTTTGCAAGGAGCGAGAGACATTAAGAATCGGTGTATGTGATGGACATTTTCGTAAATTCAAAATTCCAAAGAGGATTGTTTGGCTTACTTTCTTGGCGGGCAAGTTTCTATTCCAAGCGGGAGATTGCCAGATTGGTTAAAATAAATAGTCATAGTGCCTGCTAATCATTCAACTATCAAAGCTAGGGTTGATTCAAGTTTTAAGTCTTACACTCTAAACTTGCTTTGGTTGCCAAAATTGGTGAATTCAACCACAGAAATCAAGAAACAAAAAGGTATAGCTTTCCTTTCCAAGCTTCGAGCTCTACTGCACAAAAGAAAAAGAGTTGCTTTGATTACCAAATTTGCTCGTTTGGTGGAGACTAGGAATCCGAGAACAAAAAGGTACGTGTTTGTTTCTAAATTTCTTTCCTTGTTCTAATCATAAAATTCATGATAAGTTATCGATAATTACATTATTTCTTGATACAGTATTAATTATTAATTCAAATAATTAAAATTAAACTTTTGATAATTTTAAATATTAAAAGAATTATGATAAGTTTATAGGCAAACGTCGTAATCATATTATTTGTTAATTGTTAAAATTGTTAAAATCATCATTCTTTGTTCAGTTTTAAATGATAACATAAGCAGTGAATTTTATTTTGTAGTACAAAATTTTAATTATTTCGAAGAATCTTATATGATATATATATCTCAAATAAAAATCATTTTCTTGTAATGTTAGAGCTCTTGAAAAGCATAAAAGGGATTGCATTAAGCCAATGCTTCTTGCATACTTATGTGACAAGATGAAAGCTATTTTCAAAAAAAAAAAAAAACACATTTTATCATAACTAAAGGGAAATACGTCTATATTTCATTTATTTTCTCAGTTTCTATAAAAGTTTCTTGACGCATTCTTTAGAAGTAAATGGAAGTGTATTTTGTTTTGTCTACATGCCTACTATTAATATAATATTGTAAAAGTTTAAGAAAACTCTTATAATTTCCTTTTCAAGTTTCCCATTGTTATACGTAGTGGATTATTAGAAATTCAAGTAACATGAAAAAGAAAAATAACTCTCTTACCACGGTTGATCAACATCTCAAAATTTTTATCTGAAAGTCCAATTCGGTCCATTCCATAGACTTAAAAAATTTGTTAATATTAAAAATAATTTTATATGAATATATTATTAATTTAAAATATATTTTAAAATTAAAAAATATAAAAATAATTTTATTAATTAAAAAAAATCTTATCTCAGCTGGGATCCGAACTTCAAAATCTTTATTAAAAACTGACTCAATGTTTGGTAGTCCGCTTAGACAGGTTTAGTAGCAGCCTTTGGTTAACCAAATTCAAACAAAAGTTTGTTTTTTCAAAATAAAGAGACTTCGTAGACTTCTGCATTTCGAGTGTCACCTTCAATCTTGGAGCTTAAGCCTCCTGTCTCCAAACATTCTCTCATTTTTTTCTTTAAAAAAAAAAAACAAAAATCAGAAACCCTAAAAAAAAATCAAAGTTTTTTTTTTATTTGTTTCGTTTGTAGCTTCTCTTTCTTTGCATTATAGGCTTTAGCTATGGCAAAGGTCTCCCTTTTTCTTTGGTAACCGTTGCTTTGCGCGTTAAAACGGTAAAGAGAAGAGTTTTTAATATAGAAAGAGAAAGGAACACGCATTGCTTCCCACGTTTTCCATGTCCCATTTCTCATTTTTCTCATGCGTGCAAGCTATTCTCAAATCTCTTTAAAATCTAAAGCAAAAAAAAAAAGAACCCACTTCCCTAAAAGCCCTCTTTTTTGCATCTAATCTCTTGGTTCGTAACATTTTAAGTCTCTTCAAGCGTCTTCTACTTCATTTTCTCTCTCATATCCATCACCAATTGCTTTTTGTTGCATGCTTTCTTTTTTTGAAGATAACCCATCAACTTTTCTTCCTCATTTTTATTTCCTGTTAATGGCAGTCTGTCTCTTCTGATAAGTTTCAAAGCCTCCATCTTCTTGTTTTGAGTGTGGGTTTTCTAGGTTTTCTCTTTTGGATTTTTTAAAAATATAGAAGTGTTTAAAATCCTAATGATTTTTTCTTGGTGGGCCGGTCGAGTTTGGTAAAGTAGAGGTCTTGTTTCGATTTGTTGTATATAGTATATATTTTCTGGTGTAAGAATCTCCTTTTTCATGCTTTAGCTCATATGTTCATAATATCTTTGATAATTTAGTAGCCTTTGCCACAGTAAAAGATTGTAAATTTATAAACAGATTTCAAGTTCAGGGATTGGAAAAGTGTGCTGAATTGAATTTGGATTTGATTTTTTTTCTCTGCTTAGATCTGATCTGACAGAGCTATGGGGAATCATACGAGCAAGAAGACATCTGAAACATCATCAGCTATCAATCTTAGCAACAATTTGCAGTACACAACTGAATTGAGTTCTTATGAAGCTGCTTGCAAGATAGACACAGACTTGCAGAACTTTGACACTAATGTCCAAGCTCGAACCAATCAAGTCATCAACACTCTGGCAGTTGGTGTTGAAGTCCGAGCACTTTCATTTGATTCACTAAAAGAGGTAACAGAATGTCTTCTGCAGATGAATCAAGAGGTTGTTAAAGTTATCTTAGAATGCAAGAAAGATATATGGAAGAGTCAAGAATTGTTTGAGCTTGTCAAAGAGTATTTTGAGAATAGCTTGCAAACTCTTGATTTTTGTTCTGCGTTAGAGAAGTGTTTGAAGCGTGCTCGTGATAGCCAATTGCTTATTCTTGTTGCCTTGCAACAATTCGAAGAAGAAAGTGAGATTGGTGGGAGTAGGTATGTGAGGACATTGGAAGAGTTGAAGAATTTCAAGGCAGCTGGTGATCCTTTCACCGAGGAATTCTTTCAAATCTTTCAATCTGTTTATAGGCAACAAGTAGCAATGCTCGAGAAATTGCAACTTCGAAAGAACAAGCTTGACAAGAAGCTCAAGTACATTCATGCTTGGCGTAAGGTATCAAGTATGATATTTGTTGCTACATTTGCTGCTGTGTTGATATGTTCAGTTGTGGCAGCAGCTATGGCTGCCCCTCCAGTTGCTGCAGCTCTTGCTGCTGCAACTGCTATTCCATTAGGTTCAATGGGGAAGTGGATTGATTCTCTCTGGAAAAACTATGAAAACGCATTGAAAGGACAGAAGGAAGTGATTAGCTCAATGCAAGCAGGAACTTATGTGGCCATTAGAGATTTGGATAACATCCGGATTCTCATTGATAAATTGGAGATTGAAATTGAAGCCCTCTTGCAAAATGCAGATTTTGCAATAGAGGAAGAAGCTGTGAAGATTGGGATAGATGAAATCAAAAAGAAGCTGGGAGTGTTTATGAAGAATGTGGAGGATTTGGGGCAACAAGCTGATACTTGTAGCCGGGATATTAGGAGAGCAAGGACCGTGGTTCTGCAAAGGATCATAAAACACCCCAACAACTGAAATATTGAGCTAGTCACTGTTGTTAAATCCTGGAAATTTACCTGCTCCATTCGCTGCTGACGATGTTGACCACAACAGAAACGATGATGCTGATGAAATTGATTGATTTCCAACATTCTATTTTCTACACTACATTTTTTTTTTCAGGTTAATGTTCTAAGAAAATAATTGAAGACTGGTATTGACTTCAATCCCTTTATTTATATGTTTAGGTCACAGATATTGTTATTTTTCCATTTTCGAAATGTTCTTTTATTCTATGTAATTATTGAATTTTTCAGCTGTAGATTACACATTTTTATGTCAAAGGCCTGTTTCAAGCTTTCATGCTGCTAAAACAGATAAACTTGCCATCTCTGGTATGTTTTGTGATACGAAAATGGAAATAGAGATCGAGGAAAGGCTGCTGTTTACCATTCTATATTTGCTCAATATTTGTACCCAATAGGAAATAGATAGGCCTTGTCCTATATCAAATCGTCAAGCAGAAAAGCTGCCAACTGGTGTCTTACCTCACCTGAAAATCCCCCTTGCGAGAATACTTTACTGTTCAGCCTGACTTTGACAGTTTCAATATGTCAAAGTGAGGGATAAAGACATTTCAAGTGGCCACGCGTTGATGGGCCACTGGGGTTGAAATTCATGCAATATAGACTTGAATTACATTTACAAGGATTAGTATTGCGGTTGAAAGCTTACAGCAGAGTAGTCGTGTAATCAGGGTAATAATTGTCATGCTGCGACCCCATTATTGATGGTGCAAATCCTCAAACAATAATTACACCACATTTTTGGGTCAGGAGTCATCTATAGTTTTGCCACCACGTAAAAAATTTATTGAAATCTTAGGTTGAGTTTTTATTTTTGCAAAGAGTTTATCTTAAACCTTTGATTAAAAAATAAGTTTGGGGTAGTCCCATGAATTTTTCTGAAAACAGCCTAGAATGTCTTTAGTCATTTATTCTCGAGTCTCTTGCAATTATAATCATAGTTATTAATTTTATTTTGGTATTAGCTAATACCAATTGATACATACAAATTATATCAAAATATAATATATCTAAAGATAATTTTTTTTATCAAATTTGATATTGAATAATATCAATTATTTTCGTTGATTTCGATTGATTTTTGTGAATTTTGATGAATTAACTTATTTCAACTAGTACATAAATATAAACATAATTTTTAATTGTTAATTTATCTTTTATTATTTGACTATTTTTATCTTAATAAAAATAAAATTAATAAATAAAATAACTCTTAAAATTTTAGTTTATTTATTATTATAATTTGTTTTATTTTATACTTTATATTTTCAAATCGAAATTCATAAGTATACTCCATTTCTAAAGTTTAACAATCATAAAATCAAAATTATTTTTTTTTATCCTTTTGCTTTATCTTAATATTTGTATAAAAAAAAAATACTTATTTAAATATCAAATGATGAGATTAAGTTTTTAAAAATATCATAAAAAATTTAAGATATTATTTCTTATATTTTAAAACTTATTTATTTGATTTTTAAAAATATTGCATATTTATTTTATAAATTATTAATAATATTATAATGTACAAATTCATATATATTTATAAATATATTTATACTAAATTGAAAATTTTAAAATAATATTCTGAAACAATTGATACTAACATATATCACATTTTAAAAGAAAACCGAAATATTATCCAATACAATATTAACAACCTTGATCATAATGACTTCTTGTAATTGAGTGATAGAAGCTGAATTCATCCGTTCTTCAATAAAGACCAAGCATATCAAAAGGCTTCTCAGCTACCTAGTGTTCGAGACTTCAGATTAATGATGACATGAAATAAATTAAAGAGACGTAATTAGTAGTAAGGATTCCAAATAATTTAAGAAATTGCCATGGCAAAAGAAAAATTCCCTCATCACCAACATTCACCAGATAAACTCAGAAACAAATGGCCTTTATTGATATTTAAAGTGAAAGAAATGACGTGCTATTTGCCCCACTTTTTTTCAATTTATCAGAGATTTCATTACAGTTATTCAACATTTGAACCTAAAATTCTACTCTCAGTACATAAAGTATAACCCTTACAACAACATTGTTACCTAAATATATGCGCATACCGGAGAATTTGACAACCGGATAGACTCTCCATCAGGGCTCCCTTCTCAGGTCACGTAACCACATGCATAAGCACGGGCTATTTAAGCTTTCAACATGAACATAGATCCATTCTGGAGATGCTGGAAGTCATCTCAAACAAAGTTTACCGGCAAGCACTTTTTAATGCTGCTTATGAATGAAAAGTGATTAAGTTTGCCTTTTAAAAACAAGTTTTGACACAGCTGAAGATTGGTACGGGACGGATGTTGAAATAAGTTGCAGAAGCCATATAGGCACAAGATAGAGATACAAAGATCTTAAACCAATTGGATGAGAAAAAGGTGAAAAACGTGCATACACTAGTCAAGACAAGCACCAGCATAACGTTTGCAAGGCACTTCCCCGTAGAGAGCTTTGCTTCCGTTCCTTGCTGAGGGAAACAGCCTTCAGACTTGAAATTAGAAAGTAATTGATCCTTGAGTTGGAATGTGTCCATCAGCCAAGCTGTTACCTCCCTTTCAGATATAGGGATGTGATCCAGGGTAATGCGTCTGATGTGAATATGAACTTCTGAAGGGTCAACCCCAAATACATTGTCCAAGAAGGATGGACAGTGATGCTTATATCCGATGGTCACGTCATAAACTGCAAACAAACAAACAGGTCATGAGAATTTGTTGAGGAGAAGTGCCCAAACTTAAAGATTTATATATTAGATGAAAACTAATGTAAGCATTCTCATATCAACCAAGTAGATTCTAAAAATAGAATAACTGGGTTTATCATAGGCCCGGATTTCTGCCTTACTGGAGTCAATAGAGGGGTTTATGCCTCTTTAGACAACATATTTTTTATGCATACATAGCCCCATAGGTCAGGCATCCTTCAGGTTTCTTGCAGGTCAAATTTGAATTGAGTAGTGATGTGTGACCTAATATATGTAACAAACTTATAACTGTTGATACCTATGTAAAAGAAATTTCTTAAAATGCAGAAGAGCAAGAAGAAAAACAACCTGCATCCAAAGAGCTCCTCAAATCTTCCAAGCAGGCGTAAAAGCCCTTTGATTTTGGAAGCAGCGCATTGTTCAGGATAGGCAAGCCATTTTCAGCTGCATATTTTTGACTTCTCAAGCACTTCTGCTCACTGCATTGAAAAAGAAAAAGAATAATTACTGGATTAATGCACTGCAAATTCAATTAAGGGTAGCAACAAATAAAGTGTTAAGGCAAACAGTGTGCTATAGAGGAAGATCATGAAGATTCCAACAAACAGGAAACTAGTAATGAAATTTCTCCATACACCATGTTGTTCACATAAAAGTTGACAATATTGAAATGTTAAAGACAACATATGACACCTAAAAGAAAATGGAAATTACGTGAAATCTGTTCCTTCTGGAAAGAGAACAAGCCAAAGGGGATCGCGAGGATCTTTGAATGTTGAAAGCATGTGGCGCAGGTTTGATTCATCAACCTCCCACTTCCTTTCCACAGGGATGAACTCCAAAATGTGGAATGCCCAACCAAATACAGGTAGTTTCATCAAGCTGCTCTTAAGGATGTACTTTATGTATCCCAGGCAATCTTTCCGCAATGCAAGGTCCCACAGGTACATCCAATCAACCTCAGTTCTGTGGTTGCAAATTAGCAAAACACGTTCCTTCGCAGGAACATCATCTCCAGAAAAAATGACTTTGGTTTTGTTTATTTTCTCAAATAAAAAAGGCCATAAAGCTAGCCAAGCGCTAAAGAAGAAAGCTGTTACTTTCCGACTGTGATGTATGCTGAAAAGCCTGAATACAACAGTAGCAAGAAAGCCACAATACACTATCATCATAAAGGCCGTTGAAACTAGCACTAGAAGCCATATCAGACCCCTAAACATCCTTAGCCGGGTTAATTTACGATGCCTAATTTCAAGATTTGCACTAGGAACCTCCATATGCTGCAACTCCTAATCACTACCTTTCAAACAAAAGAAGCTGCAGACTCTCTAAGATGAATTATCAACTTAAAAAGTAACAAATATGACATCTAGGCACCAGTGATTAACTGGAAAGTAACTCAAAGAAACAGTGAAATCAGGACGGTCCATGTTTATCCTGCAGAAACACAGTTAGATTGAGCTTAGAGCAATGTTTTGGTGCACAAAAAAATAACCTAGAACAAGAAGCAAACACAATGAAGTTAAACCAAACTAGCAATGTATCAAAATACTAACAAGTTTCAGCCAGCATTTAAAGGAGGAAGACAAAAGCATAACTTAACATAAATGCTCTTACTAAAACAAGCATGATTGCTTATCAGCATAAGCCTCTCATTTCTAAACCAAATTAGCAAAACCCATTGCTTTACTTCAAGAGTCAAGAGGAAACCAACAAAAAGATAAATCAAAGCATTTAATAAATGCTTTCAAAATTTTAGTTTGGAATCACACTTCCCCCCAGTCAACAGACATGGGGCTTTTATCAGATGATACCACATAAATAAATAAATAGATGTGCATTGCAAGAAAATTAGACTCTACATTCATATAATGCTGAATAAGCTTCAGTTCAATAAACTCCAAAGCATGTTTAAATAAATAAATCAGAGCAACAAAAAGACAGAAGGTCATCGTTCACCTAACCGTAGAATATATAAAAAGATTGGATCTGAAAGCCTGGAAAAGATGTTGCTCAAAATCTAAGTAAATACCCTGAAAGATCCTGTTTGGTTGCTCGGAAAAATTAAAGATTCAAATCTTAGGGGAAAATGTAGATTTGATTCTAATTATCTGGTAGGAGTTTATCAGCAGCAATCCAGAAAAAAAAATTGCTGAGTGTATAAAAAAAAAGATCTGTAAATAAAAAAAGTAAATTACCTTTATATAGTTAGGGTTCAAGTTTAACGGTAGGGAAAAGGAAGGAAAAAATCTGCCGGAAAAATCGGTATTTGGATTTGGTCCATCAATGACTCTGAAAATTGGAGGTTAAGAGCGGGAGGGATTAAGGAAATGGGCAAGGAAATGGGTTCAAATTACGCTTTCTGCCACTGCCGTATCGCACCGATGGCTATTAGTGGTAATATCGGGCGAAGATGGAATTTGAATAATTTTAGGTGTTGTATATTTTAAGATTTATTGGACTAATTTCATATTGGGATTAATTAAAATTTACTTTTCAAGTATAAATTTAGATTCCAAATATTGGTTATCATTTTATTTATTAGTTTAAAATTTTTCTAATTTTATTTATTTATTTATGTTTATTTAAGATATTTGTTTGAAATTTGATGCAAGGGAATGTATGAATGAAAGAAGTTTCAACTTTTAATTTGAAATAAATTATAATTTATTATTTCTTCTTTTTTGTTATTATTTTTAAATTATTTTAAAAAATTATAAATTTATAATAATTAAAAAATAAAAAATTTAATTAAAATTATATCTTCTGCACAAAATATAAAAAATATTTATCTATTTTTTTTTGAAATATTGATCTATTTTATATTAAAACTTTTAGCCCAAAAAATAATCGCCGTATTTATTACTATTTTTTATTAAAATTAAAATAAAGTTTTGTTTTATTATTCTAAAAAAATTGTTTTATTGCTTTGACTGTTTGACCTGCTTATACCTACATATAATTTTATCAGTTGATTAATGAGAACCGTAAAATAACCATAGAGGAAGAGAAAAGAAAAGAAAGGAAATCCCAGAAAGAAACAGAAAAGAAAAAGAGAGAAAATTGCATAAAGCTTGTCAAGCAAGCCAAGCTTTTTGACATTCGTGTTTTCTGAAATCACTTGATTCTTAAATCTAGTATATTTTTCACCATTTTTTCTCACTCTAAAACTCCGCCGATGAGTTCTATGGAAATCGATTTCCAGGAATATCAACTGCGCTGCCAATTAAGAGGCCACGAAGACGACGTAAGATCTCCTTTTTCTTCGTTTTGTCTCGGTATTTCTTCATAATTTCATTTTCCATTTTCTTTTAATCTTGATCACTTAGGGTTTGATATGTTGCCGAAACTTTTAGGTTCGTGGAATATGCGTTTGCGGCGATGAAGGTATAGCCACTTCTTCAAGAGACAGGACGGTCAGGTTCTGGTCTCTTGATTCCTCAGATAAACGTAAGTATGTTTCGTCTAAGATTCTGTTAGGGCATTCGAGTTTCGTGGGTCCATTGGCGTGGATTTCGCCCGATGAAGAGTTTCCGGAAGGTGGAATTGTGTCCGGTGGAATGGATACCATGGTTCTTGTTTGGGACTTGAGGACTGGAGAAAAAGTGCAGTCGTTGAAGGGCCACCAGTTGCAAGTTACTGGTGTCGTATTGGATAACGGGGACATCGTTTCCTCATCCGTTGATTGGTGAGTTACAATTTTGGATAGAAAGTAATTTTCAGTTCTGTGTTGAAAATAGTTGTGTCTCGTTGCATTTAATTTTCAAAATAGTTCTGTTTATTAGTCACTTAAGTAGTTAGCTATCTGTTTATATGGTGCATCTGCATCGCAGTACTTTAAGGCGATGGAGGAGTGGTCAACCTGTTGAAACCTGGGAAGCACACAAGTCACCCATCCAAGCTGTTATAAAGCTTCCTTCAGGGGAGCTAGTTTCAGGTATATCAATTCTGTTGTTATTAGAGTTATTTGAAGTATGGTGTTGCAAAACTTGATGACATTTCTTTTGAATGATGCAAATTCATCTATTTTGGGTATAACTGCATTCTTCTGGTCTGTTCTTGCAATATCATCTTTCTGGCATGCATACCGTCTTTGTTCTGGCAGTTGACAAAACTTATTTGGTTATGAGTTAACACTAAAAGTTGGGAGAAAATGTGTATGATTTAATTTATTTAATTTACTCCAGGTTCTAGTGACACAACCTTGAAACTTTGGAGAGGCAAGACATGCGTGCATACTTTTGTTGGGCATACTGGTGAGCCCCCCTGCACCCAACTTTTATCTTGCTATATTCTTAGTGAATAGATAATTAGTTATTTGCTCCACATTTGTATTTCTTCATGTTCATGTTTTTGAATTTTTTTGAATTGCATTTTTAGGAAAACTTGAATATACTTTTCTTTCTCAAACTGTCAACTAGAGTAGTTTTATAGCTTTAAGCATAAATGATGGCTGTGTCTAATGGCTTCTGTTACCCAGAAAGAACATGTCTTGTTGTATAATGGCAGATATTAGTTTATGCAAGCACTCGTGCTTTTGATCGTTGTGCAGATACTGTTCGAGGTTTGGCAGTTATGCCTGGGTTGGGAGTTCTTTCTGCATCACATGATGGGTAAGTAACCTTATCCCCTTCTTTCATTATTGCATTACTTCAAATTAAGACTACAAGGGTGTGTTGCTGGCATGGTCTTGTATGTCCTCTAAACTAGAGGAGTTGCTACTTTATTTTGTTTGTTTCCTTCTTGGCTTTTCTTTCAGTTTTATTTTTGTTTTAATTTTCCCTCTTTTATCTCTCTTTGCTTATTTATCAGGTTTCTATGGCTTGAATGTATGGTTGCAGTAATTCTTATATCTGTTTTATTTTCATTGCATTAGTTCCATTAGGTTATGGGCACAAAGTGGTGAAGTATTGATGGAGATGGTTGGTCATACTTCCATTGTCTATTCAGTTGATTCTCATGTTACTGGACTTATTGTCACTGGTAGTGAAGATCGTTCTGCAAAGATATGGAAAGGTGATTGTTTCTGCCATCTATAGATCTGTTTAAAATGATTGCATATGTTGAATTAGTAACTAAGGCTGCAGCTGTATCTCACTGGATTCGTCAGATAGAAGCCAAGTTTGGAGTTGACCTCCAACTATTGGTTGCTCATTCTAAGATAACTCTGCAAAGTTTTCGGAGAATCTTCGTTGGCTTTCTTGGTTTGGACAGTACTTTTTTATATGATTAGAAATTTGATTTTGCTTTTGTCTTAAAATATTATTTTTCTTGTTTTCAGTTGATAAATATGTCATTTTCCTTCAAAATTCATTGTCTATTGTAACATCTTGAGCTAGAAACATGTTTCACAATCAAAAGTGGCTTAGGTATGATTATATCAAGCATAGCTGAAAGCATAACCAGTTCCTTAACTTCCTTTGGTATATTTCATTTCATTAAGTGAATATTTTATCCTTTTTTTAACTCTTAATGGTAAATTTTACTAGTGTGTTATTTTCCTGGAATACTCTGGAAGTAACATTGCTGGTTATAGGCTAAACATTGGTCCTGCATGACTTGATATTTTATTTTCACAAGGAAATTATGTCTTATTGCAGATGGTGTCTGTGTGCAAAGCATAGAGCACCCTGGTTGTGTTTGGGATGCTAAATTTTTGGAAAATGGAGATATTGTAACTGCATGTTCAGATGGAGTTTTACGAATTTGGACAGTAGATCTGGGTAGCTTTGCAGATCCAGTGGAACTTGAGGCATATACTTCAGAACTTTCTCAATACAAACTGAGTAGGTATGATCATATGACACTTGCCAATATTTGATACCGTCCTTATTGTTATATCATGACCATATTCCGCATTGGTCACCTTTTGGTAATAAAAAATGGGGAGATTGATTTCCATCAGTTTTTAATTCTCATTTTTCTTCTTGTATTTCAGTTAAATTATTCATCTCTTAATAGTTCATAGTGTAATTTTATGATTTATTAGTTTCTGGCTGGATCACTAAAGAGCTGCTAGCATTCATTACTTTTAAGCTTTGCCTGATATCCATCTCATTTCTTTCTGTTTGTACTAGGAAGAGTGTCGGTGGTTTGAAATTGGAAGATTTACCTGGGCTTGAGGCTTTACAGATTCCAGGTGTGATTTTAATGCCAGTACATTTTAGCTTTCACATGTGGTGCTTTAGTCATACTTATTCTGTTTAATCTAGAGATGAAGAAATACTTAATTTCACCATATCAAATTTTAATGGTCATATCTTTTCTAGTAGCAGTTGAATACTTTTTAATGGTTTATGTATCTGATCAGGAAATAGCGATGGCCAGACAAAAATTGTTAGAGAAGGGGATAATGGTGTAGCTTATTCATGGAATATGAGAGGACAGAAATGGGATAAAGTAACTTCATTCTAATTCTCTTTAGTTATTTGCTTTTATCATCTTAAGGTTTCATCTCACTTATCTGAGTACACTGTTCATTTTGATGCTTTACATTCTGCAAAGAACATGGAAGCCTTGATATTTTTGTTCTTTTGTGATCTGCTTTACAATCTTGTCATATTGTTTGTGTTTGAAAAGAAAGTAATCTCTTTGATTTTATAGAAGTTCAAAGGCAAATCTGTTCCCTAAATAATTGAGGTGAAGCTTCTGGTGGACTATTAATTGGTTAAATATATCATGCCCTCTTGATAACTTTTGCTTGCCAGTTGTTTCTTCCACATACAATTTCTTATATTTGCTTGTTACTTTCTTGTTCAGATTGGTGAAGTTGTTGATGGTCCAGATGACAGCATGAAGCGTTCTGTTCTTGATGGAGTTCAATATGATTATGGTCAGCAACTTCGTTTCTTTTTCATTTAGGTTAATGACTTGATGTAAATATATTTATAATTTTTATATATTCTGACTCAGTATTCGATGTTGATATTGGTGATGGGGAGCCTATTCGTAAGTTGCCTTTTAACCGATCAGGTATCTTTCTTTTCTTAGCCTTGTGTTTTCTGATGTTATCAAATTTATGCATTTTCCCTCAGATCTTGTGGTTCTAATTCTTGTATCATCCCAGGACATTCATATATTCTTCTCCTGCTGTCATTCCCCACTTTTTTATTCCTTGTGAAAATTAACTATGTTCTTTGTAAAGAAAAAAAAAATTGAATAGTTCATCACCTTTACCATCTAATCAATGATAGCAATGTGGTGTGTCTTGGAACATGTTTTTCCCCAGCTTGTCATTAATTATGGATCAGGCATGCAATATTACTCTGTATAACCGTGTCTTTTGTAAGGAGGAAGAGAAAATTTTAGCACACCTTACCTTTTTATGATCAAGTGCATTATAGGGAACATTTCTTGTAAAATTTACGTTGTAATTTGAATGACTTGCAAATTGAATACAACAAAGGAATCGGGCATGCAATGTTGACCTAAAGTTAATTCACAAGTCGAATCTTTCCAGATAATC